GGTTAGGTGGAAAAAGATAAAAAGTTGACGAAAGCTATGAGGAAGTGATCACAACCGTCTGTTGTAGTCAGTAGATCACGCGCGCGCGCGAGAAGATTTTTTCAGAACCTTCGAGATAAACAAAAACAAACTATAAATATACCCAACAAACTATAAATAATAAAAAAAAAACGAACCCTACTCAACAACCAACTGAGTTCAAACTATGGACAAGGAGAACGCCATATTCATATTTTGATTGTTTCTACTCTAGGAAACGATTGGATGGTGGATGAATCTCTTGTTCCAAATAAGAACTGAGGAGATTGTATATCGACAAGAACATTTCTCAAATCTCATGTTCGGATGTGAAATAGAAGTGTTCACAACGTCCGAGGATCCAGTTTAGAAGTAAAGGTGACAACTCAAATGAATTAGAGGAGCTTGAGAAAAACACGGAAACATCTGATGAACCAGGAAGGGTTTGCGAACGAGCTGCGGGAAGCAGAGAAAAAAAATACAAACTTGAGCTACCAGTGGAAAGACTAACCTCGCAAGAGGAGGTTGGATCAGAGTAGATCAACAATTGTTACGCCATAATAAATTTTAGTTCGAAAAAAATGACAAAAGTAAACCGGATGACAAGACTTGGCATATTTGAGGCAGTACGAAGAGACGTGCAAGAGAGCTTTCCGGGTTAAAGAAAAATAAAATACTACTATTAATATAAATCGAAATACCAACACTTTTGTCTATCTACAAAAAGAATTATTCCTTAAAGGGAATCAACCACCTGTACAAGAAAACTGGTGAGCATTGTGCATGTCGAATAGAAGGAATACAATCTCTTCTCACGTTGCTCGAACTATAAACTATGAATCCTGAGAGAACTGTCTAAATGTTAAATATTGAAAAGCATTTTCTACCCTACACTATCAGGGAGTCTGTACATAGCGTAATAATTAAATTTTTATTCCATAATTAACAGATTACAATGCCACAGTTCTACTGTGATAGGACATATTTGAACTGAAATCGAAAACCCGAAGAAAGGAAATGTACAGAAGAAAGCAAAAATCTCACGACTAGAATGCTGATTGACCCCATGTTAAATATGAACGTTAGTTTTCGGTAGCAGCTCTTTTCACATGTTTCCCACCAAACACCCCAACAACAGCTCCTAGAACACTGGCAGTGAGACCAGCAATCGCAGAACCAGCGAAAAATCCTACTGGACCTCCTAGAGCGACACCTCCCGCAACAGCAGTCAACAGTGGTAACTAGAACATGAATTAATATTAGATCTAAGATATTTCAAACTTTAGCTGCTTTATGCTGAACCGCTCTCTTTAGTTGATTATTACCTCTCTGAACATCATGGTTCGCTCTTTCAACATGTTCCTGGAGAGACAAATCATTAGGACACTGGAGTATAACTAACTTCAATTGAATCAATAACTTCGTTTTGTTGATAAACTAAAGTATGCAGTTCAACCATTATATCCTCCAAGGCATGCATATCCTAAAATTCCTCTTTCTTCTAAATATCAAAACTGCTTGAATACTTGTTCGAGTCTCGATGTCGCTTCAGCTTTCTCCTTCGCTTCTTTGATTTGATCTTCCATAAACTTCATCTCTGATAGACTTTGTCTAGCATACCTGAAAAACGTCTTTCTTACTACCACCCTTAAAAAAATTAACCTTTTACTCTCGAACTCATACGGATTATCCAATTCTTTGAAGCTATCATACACATCATTCCCTTTCAAGTTTAACGACGGTAGAGTTTTATTGATAGCAACTGTGGATTGAATTTGAGATCTATATATATGATAACAATGAATTCTTAGTTTTGCTAACCTGATAGGTTCTAATCTTTGATCAAATAAATCATGAAACTCGTCTTCCAGATTGTTTCGAGATGAAAATAGCTGAGCTAAGCCATTCAAAAGGTGTTCTTCCAATGATTGAATCTATGAAACAATCTGTTGTGTCGTAAACATTCTTGAGGAACTTACCTGCTCTCTCACTGTCACATTATCTTGATTTGATCTTTCTATGACAATTTTTTGAAGCTGTTTCAAATCTCTTATTTGATTTAAAGATAGTTTTTCATATCTGTCGATTATTTTGCTCATACGTTCCCAAGACATCTGACACTAGGAAATTATAGGTGAAACAATATATGAGATGTAGGTAAAGGTATTGCTTGAACAATGTTCGAGATGGTATCAACTTGGAAATAATTAAATTTATAAACAAACAAATAACAACTTAGTTATCAGAGCGAGCGAGAATGTTCAGTATTTTTTGAATGTCCTTGTGGAAATCCCTGTAAACTATACGTTATCTAGAAGTTGTTTCGTCTCTCACCTTCCGGCTTCCTTCTGATCGTTCATAACCTTATTTAAGCAAATTGTCAGAGATCGGAATGAATGTTCTCCCCCTAGTTTAGCATATGCAGGCAGTAGTTCTGCTGCTAACGCTTTGACCTACAGTGCAAACATTCTCAATCAAATCGTAAAAGAATATTCTTACCTTTCTTTCACAACTAACATCGTTCGTCAAGCCGAACTGAAGACCCAAGACGCAGGCTCTGAATGTTATTATCGAATAGCTTTATGTTAAGTTCAAATACTTGTTCACAACATTCTCGACAATCAGTTCAAATCGCGATTCTGGTGATAGAGTTTCCTTCAAAGCATTTATACAACGAATCAACTGAAAAATTGAGTCCAGTGAAGTAAAGTGATGAGGAATACCTTTATTGCAACCCAGTATTGTCTATCTATGAATGCTCTACAACCGGTGTTAGGATTCTCCACAGCTCTTTAAACAGTATTTTAGAGAATAGTTTGAACCGGATGACGTACTGTTTACTGAACATTACTGCACATAAATCTTCATCAATAGATTGAGTGATTTTCTTTTTGATCGATTCCATTAAAACTAAGTAAGGCTTCGATTTTGCAGTTATAGTTGGAAACATTGCTAGCCCTAGAACAGTTCATCAATTGCATTAAGTCGCAAGAATAACATACCTCGCAAGTGCAAATTTAGATTCACAGACTGCTTTAACGATGTAGGATCCCATTCATCATTTACAATATCTGAAACAAGTTAGTATCAGCATTGATCAGAAAAGACTCACCAGTGAAATATGGGACTATAACTTTTTCAAAAACTTTAGGCAGTATGTTAACGATGATAGGATGATCAGATTGGATCTCATTGTGGCTCACTCCAGCCAATAAACAATCTATGTACCATTGGTTGGTAGAATATGTGAAATTCGGATCCTGAGAAATTGAACAAATTTTAAAAAAACTGCATATATACCTCTAATAGATTTATTTTGGATAGTTGAATGCGTACAAACGGAGAGCAGAGTTTTGGTATACAAAGCGCTACATAAGCATCTTGGAAAGATTGCTCATCCACCGCCAACCAGTCCAGTATTCTGAAAATAGTTTCGGCTATTTGAATGATAAGCTTTTCTACCTATCCAGAACTTTACGAAGATTCGAAAACTCATCTGCTGCATCGACAAAGACTGTGTCTAACCCAGCTACGCATTCGTCTGAAGCAGGAGTATCATAAACTTCGGAACTCTTAACAGCTCGATATACCTATTATAGATTTATCATGAAGTTGAGTACTAGTAGGCTCTTCATCATCGCTACTCAATCCTTCTTCGTGTGAAATACCGGATAGGGTGTTTTCCCGCTCACGTCTTCTTCTGCCACTAAAAACAAGAAAAAATACAACGTTTTCTTGGTTGGAACAATATTCAACGACTGAAGGATAAAACAGATCCAACAGATATGTACTGAATAATTTGCTTACCGCCTGGCCTCTCTTTCGGCTACACGAGATACAGTCTCTCCGGTTTTCATTGATTGTATAGGCTTCCCACTAGCTAAAGCTGAACATTCCGCATACTGATCCTTGAGAAATATTGTTATTTCATCGAGGTAAATGTAACGAACCTGCACGTCCTTCCTTCTTCTTCTCATCAATCGCTCAGATCGAGATTTGAGGCAGTGCCGTCGTCTATCTATCAGGATGTTGATGTCCGCCACCTAAAACTGTACGAAAAAGATTCAGAGCATTCATACCTTCTCATTCAAACAATCCAGTAAGTTACGAATGAATATCTTCAACTCTTGATTCATGGTAAATTTTCTAGCCAAGTCAGGTGTTTCTATATCATTCTAAAAAAAGGATGTGACGTTTTAAAATATATACTCACTTTTCTTATCATAGTCGTGTTTTCTTCAATGTTTCTGATAAGTCGATCTTTATCATCTAACGTAGCTTTCAGCTGGTCCTCTGTATCTTTAATTCTAGAAGATAAATTTCTTAAACCTCACCCCGTTCAACAAGTACCTCAAGTCCAATTTCGCTACTATATCCTCAATGGTAATAACACCTCCAGTGTTTGGCACGCCCAAGACTGTAAGAAAATAATGGGTAAGAAAATCTGAGCGTCTAGAACCTGTTGTTCTTGGATTATGTGTTTCTTGTTCGTAGTCAAAGTCAATATCCATATCAACCTCCTGTTGCTGTTGTTGCGTTTGACGATATTCAACTAAACCGGCTTGTAAATTTTTAGATGAAATATCATACTCTGGCCTCATTCGACCAATCTAATTTCAACAGTATGTTATTCATTCTCAAAACACAATCTTACTGTTTGTCGACTGACTGCTTTCTGTATTTGTTGGGTTTCCCATTCATCATCTTCAGGATCACGGTCATCATCTCCTTGCTCACGCTCGAGAAACTCGTTCTGTTCGTCTCTTCGACGTTCCTCTTCTTCTTTAGTTAATTGTTTCAGAGAATAAAACCTCAAAAAAAAAACATGAATACGTAAAGACTTATGAAAAAACCTTCCGTGATCCTCATCTGAATCATCATGATCATCTTCACGAACAAGACGTTCTCTCACGTTCTTCTCCCTCGCAGTTTCTTCCAAGGGTATGATGCCATCCTTTTCCCTCCTGAGTCGTTCTCTCTTTTTTTTCGCTTCAAATACGGCTTTAGAATCCGGAATACCGTCTAAGGTTCACAATCAGATCATTAAATATGTTGTGGCATACCGAATGTCATGCCAAATTTTGATGAGACATCATTCTGTATTTCAATATCACTTTCATCCGAATAAGCCTTAATATTTTTTTTGAATATAAACTATACTCTTAAACTAGCCTGCTGATGAGATGTGCGGTACTTCTCGAGATATTTCTTCCGATTCAAAGGTTTTCTTGCAGAATCATGAGAGTTTTCTTTTTTAATAACTTCTACGAATTGACCATCCTCTTCGATTTTTAAACACTCCACTTCTAACTTTATTTGCCTCTTCATTTCATCCACCTGCTTTGTATTCTTCTTTACTGTGAAATCAGCATCAGCTCCTGTAAGGTATTAAATTGTAACTGTACAAAATAATCGTTCTAACCTTCGTCATGATCAAAACTCAGAAGAGCGGGTGGTTTTGACGGAATAGATAGAGTTTCGTTCTCGTCATTCGCTTTACCATCATCTGTTTCTTTTGATTCTTGTACAGAGATATCATTTTCAGATTCATCCCATCCACTTCCGATCGGTTGCCTAGCCACTACCTTCTTTTTCGGTTTTCGAAACATTTATAAATGCTCTAAAGTTCAATAATCACGTTGGTACTAAAACTCAAGCAATCAATACCCTCTTCCTTCTATCTTTGAAGGAAATTAGGCAAGATTATGTGCTCCAACGTGAGCTAAACATATTAGAAGTATTATTATAATAACTTATAAGCTAAAACGCGTGAAAGCAAAAATGTCAGTCGCAGCTACGTACCCGAACGTTTTGAAAATATTTTCATGAGGGTTGGTTCATAGACCTCCAGAAGAAATACGATCGAGACATAGGGCTTAACTCTAATATTCCAATTGCAATCCCAATGTCTGTATTGTTAGAAACATCTCTAGGAGATTTAGTCGTTGATGTCTTTTTAAAGGAGCGTCCAAAATGTGAGTAAAAACAACCTCTCCCTTAAGATGTTTTACATTATAGGCTCTATGAACTTCATCAAGCTATGTAGAATGAAATATTATAATCTATGTCCATTTCATACCATAGAGGTTCAAATATCTATTGTTTTGATAATACAGAGAAGTTTCAGCAAAATTACATTGCACAAACTGGAGATCCTACTGGCACAGGAAGTGGTGGAGAATCGGTTTTTGTAAACTTTTATGGAGATCAAGGGAAGTTTTTCGAGAAGGAAGACTTGCCAAAAATGAAACATTCCCGACTAGGTTAGTTTTTGAAACATTGGCTTACAAATATCAATTTTCAAGGGTTGGTGGCGTTCGTAAATAATGGAGATGGAATGCTTGGAAGTCAGTTCTATATTACTCTGGGAGACGAGTCAGTACTTTGAAATTGAACCGGTTCTAATTCGGCTGAAACCTTGCAGCTTAGATTACTTAGACAGTCAGCACACCATTTTTGGTCAGGTTACAGAAGGTCTGGACACTCTAGAAAAGCTCAACGATGAACTATGTGATGATAATCATAAGCCGTATAAGGACATAAGGTACTCACTATATGTAATGCAACATCAGAACTTCTTTCTAGAATCACGCATACAATCGTATTAGATGATCCTTTCGATGATCCCTCTGATGTTAAGTATCCCTCTAGATCTCCTTCTCCAAGCTTTGATGATCTCGTTCAAGTATTTTGATTTCCGACTGTCCACAGAATTTTATGAATATTATAGCCTAACAAAATTGCTTTGGATCAACTCGATGATGAAAATGAAGGAAAAACAGCAGAAGAAATAGCTGAAGAGATGAAGTTGAGGGAAATGGAGGAACAGGCTCAGATTCTTGAAATGGTAAACAATTGACCTTTTTTTTCAAACTTCTGCTCTCATAGGTTGGTGACCTGAAATCTGCTGATGATAGACCTCCTGATAATGTATTGTTTGTTTGCAAACTTAATCCTATCACTACAGATGATGATCTAGAGATCATTTTCAGCCGTTTTGGAAAAATTGAAAGTTGTGAGGTTGGTCGAACATCAATTGATGTTTAAAATATTTTCTTCAAGATTATCCGGGACCGACGAACCAAAGATTCCCTACAATATGCTTTTATTGAATATGACAATGTTTGTGCTTTTCAAGAAAATATCATAACATAGTATACATTCAGCCTAAAAGTTGTGAACAAGCTTATATGAAAATGGACAATGTTCTCATTGACGACCGACGCATTCATGTTGATTTCTCACAGTCCGTAGCCAAAAATTATAAATGGGAAAGAATGGGTAAGAAAAAATAAAACCTACTAGGGTTACTATGTATTCTTATCGTTTCCAGAAAAGAAAGAAAATAAAACTTTACCTGCCAAAAGAGATTCTAAGAGCTTCAGAAGAAGCAGCAGCCCAGAAAGGAAACACAGGTACAGTAGAGCTGAAAACAGCAAACGATTTGTTTCAGGAAATATGAGCGTGATGACCGAAGAAAAGAGCATCGTGACCATCGGGATCATCGGAAGGATGACTCAAAAGATTCAGGACGAAGAGAAGATCGTCGTCGGGACTACGATAATCGCCGTCGAGATGAAGATGATCGTCGTAGCTACCGTGATGATCATCACAAAAGAAGAGATGATGAAAGCAGAAGAAGAGATGATGAAAGCAGAAGGAGTCATCATAAATCCTCAGGCGACAGAAGGAGTAATCGTGATGATAGTAGGCGCGATGATAAGGATAGGAAAGACAGAAGCTCTCATCGATAATTTCATTCAATTTGTACAACTTATTTTACAATAAATGCTTAATTCGCATCGTCAACTTCAGAGATATCCAAAACATCCCAATCTTTCTGAAAAAAAATGTCTTTCGGTCTTGCGGGCTTTTAGTTACAAACCATTTCCTGCTCTCTTAGATGCAACCTAGACGATGTAGTTCGAATTTGGTAATGGCGATTTTTATTTTCAACATTCGACTGAAAAAGTGTTGAAACAAGAGAAAACTGAAGGTATCTTACCGGTCTCCGTTCTTTAAATGTGTACAGCAATTTTGCTATCTCTAGAAGGTTTGAAACAGGATCATTGAAGTTCACTTGTTCATGAGGTAAGCCCAAATGAAGGCCCAAACACATGCTCAATTCACAAATAGTATTCCTAAATATCTTGATTATAATATCACAACTATTCGTACCAGTCATTATGAAAGCTCTCTCTTGACGTTATGTCTCTTGTAGCAATTTCTCGATAAGATATCTGGAAAAATGGGAAACATGATGAGGATAAAAATTACCACATTTACCGAATTGGGCAAACTGAACTCGAACAGCATTGTCAACATGCTCAAGATTTGAACAATGTGCAGAATGGCAGCGAATGTTGGACGGAGTTCAGAAGGGATATTAAGGACGGACGGATAACAGGCAAGTCTTTCTCGAGCTGCTTCGTTCAGCTTTGCATGCCCAATCTTAACCATAAGAATAAGATAGGAATGATAATTGAAGCTACCGCATAGAACATCCCGCTATCAATTGGTACCCCACTTACAAGCGTCCATTTGCTGAAATACGAGAGAAGTGATGAGTAAAAAATCAAGAGCCTACTGCATATTAGACGATGTCTGAACTAGCGGATGAACTTCTGCAAGGAGTTTCTGAATTGGGAATTGTGTTAAAACAGCCATAGATTTCTTGGCTTGCAGCTGCCATATCTGAAATTCATGTTTACTCCTCTGGTGATGAGCTCAACAGTTACTTTTTTTAATTTGCCGTTTAGATCATTTCTTTTCTTTTTTAGCTTTTCCTGATCGGCTTCATATTTCTTGTCATGTTCACCAAACTTGGCCTGAGTTTGGAAAAGAGATGAAGAAGATGTTAAGCTAAAAACACCTCAAGCTGTTTTGATAGCTGTATTGACTGCACATTCTGTTCGGTTGTTGATTTGATTAGCAATTCATTTTTCTTTTTCCTTTCCTTAGCATATTGAATATCTTCATGAAGCTTTTGTATCCTTGCTTTTACTTGATTAGTTTCACCCAAAATGTCATGCTGAAACAACCTGTTAAGCATAGAGCCAATTCAAACTTACATAAGTTTGAAGTTGAACCGTTATTTTCGAATCCAGCGATTGTTTCAACTTCTTTTGACGAGATATACTTTCCTTACGCGAATAGAACTTTACTAAATCAAGGAAACTATGAGGAATCATGTTTTTTAGTGAACTCACGTTTATTTCGAACACATTCTTTACAGATACAATTATCTCCACTCCTACAATTTATACAGAGGTACTTTTCTCCACTCACGCTGAAGGTATAAATAGTGATGGAAACGAGAGAGAAAATACGAACACATGATTGGTTTTAGCAATTCGCGAATCTGTTTTAGTTATCACTCCTAAAGGAGTTTGAGCTGCGGTATTAGGAGATCCGAACCCATCAGGAATATCTGCAAGTAGATGTTCTCATTTTCAAACAAAACAATACAATTATAATAGTAATAAACTAAGAATTTTACTTGATAAGGAAGAAAACCCGTGCCCTATCTTCCTATTTGGTGATGTCACAACGTCATAGCTATGTCCTGTTGTTTTATTGATATCCATGCACCTACAATATATAGTTCTGATCTTGAACTGAAACAAGTAACGATGGAAATATCCCTCTATTTATAAAAGTAAAGTGTGCTAAAATGCTACAGCAGAGAACATGCGTCTTGGTCAGATGATTACAAGGCACCGCCCCCTCTATCCAAACCAAACAATTTTTTTTAATTTTTTCATAATTTATTATGTTAACAACAGAATCAAAAATAACAACTAAAATGTAAAACAACTTTCTTTTCTCATGAAAAACTATTCACTGTCATTTCAAACCACTGTCTTATTGACTCTGAGAGTACTGAGGGCAACTGCTGTATTGATTTAATTATTACATAAAAGGGGAAGGGGAACAGTTGCAAGTAAGGAGTGAGTATAACAGATCCGGCTTGGAAAGAAGCTACTGATAGCTCCGTGATGGATTTAGTACCAGAATCCAAGATAACAAACAAAACCGTAACTCCTTGTAAAGAAGAAACTAATCGTTTGATCTGGAAGAAGAATATATAGCTCGTGCTGTTAGGAATGACCAAATAACCTTCTCTGCTCCTTGGGACAAAGCGCCTCTACCATCGGAAACAATAATCAACAACTGCTCACTATTAGGGGTTCGAACATCCGCCAATTTCTGCTTCGAATAATCTAGAAGTCCTATCAAATCCGTCGACGACTGATCGAATGTTAACTGAAGCGAGGTATTAGGTTGGTGCACATGAACATTCAAAACCTTTTGAATGAAATCAGGACCAGAAATCATGGAATCACCGAATGAACATATAGCTTTTATCTGAGATCCAAATGATATAACCGAAACAGCACCAGCGTCACATCTTCTCAACGCATCATCGATGGCACATACAGACTCACAAGTAACCTGTAACTCTTTATTAAGCTTTTTTCTTGAAATGAAAATTACTTGATGAATTCCATTTTCATTCATACTAGCAGAATCATCAACTGCTATGAGTATCTGGAATGTTTGCAACATAGTATCAATTTCAATAATGAAGAACTACTTGATATTCACGCTGGGCGCGTTTAGTCCTTCTCATCCATATGCGATCTTTCCGATAGTCGGATGCAATATATGGAATCAAACGTCTCATATTCAAACGCTTTCCAGTTCGATAGTCACCTCTTCAAAAAATAAATGAACTAGTTCAATATTGAATATACATACTGCATCTTATTAGCTCGTTGTGGTTCCAGAATCAATCGTAGATTTTCAGCTAGCTCAGCTGATAGTAAGCTCACAGACCGACTGATCTCATTCCACATTTTTTCTGCTTCATGAAAAGGTCGTAATGACTTCTCTGCGTCCTTTTCAGGTTCCTCAGATTTGGTATCGTTCTCTCTATCCTCTAATATCAAATCTTTCGTCAGCCCTTCAGCCTGAAAAAAAAAGTTTGAAACCGACGCGAGACAAGCCTCATACCAGTTGGTATAGATCGGTTGCTGCGAGATGAATTGATGACTCGCTTTCCTCAATAGCATTATCATTACAAACATCCATCTCCTCCGACGCTTCAAGTTTTGGAACTTTTTTCAGCTTTGGTTCCTTTCCCACACTTTCATCTTTTTTCGATTCTTTTGCTTCGTCAAGGGAGCCTGCACCAAGTGACTTGAAAAATGTTACTTTTTTACATCAAAAATTTAGAAAGAATTACTTCTTTTGTTCCAGAAGGAGTTCCTTCAACTTGCTTTCCTAAATCGTGCTCTTCACCCTCTCCTTCAGGACCTTCGGTTGTTTCCATGTCGTCATCAGTTGCCAGTTTCTTCTCTTTTTCAACGTTGCCTTCATTTTGATCCTCATCTTCTTCTTTAGTATCCTTTTCCTCTTCAATCTTTTCAACTCCAGCTCCATCTTTCCCTTTTTTGTTGTCGCAGCTGTATGAAATAAGTGTTGCATTTTCGAATTTTCATCTACAAACCTTTTGCCCTCTCCATCATCTTCTTCGTCTTTCTCTTTATCCTCTTCATCATCAGCACCTTTTCCATCTAATTCTTCATTATCATCTTGCTTATCACCACCATCTCCTTGTTGGAAAGCTTCAATATGGTCTTTACGCTCCGCTTCTTCCTCTTCTTCTGTTGCTTGCGGAACATCCTCCTTATCTTCCTGAACATTTAACGGTTATCTCTATGACTGTTTTATTGTACTGTTTGGTCTTCTTCGTTTTCCTTGTCGTCGTCATCAAGTTGCTCATGAGTTTCAGTTTCTTCGTCAGCACCATCCTCCTCTTCATCAATTTTATCCATGTTCATTTCTTCTTGAACATCATCTCCACCACGGTCTCTGAAACACCGCCTATTAGAAATAGTTAGCAAAGCTGACTAACTGTTCTAGATCTTCAGGATCTTCTCCTTGGTTCTCTCGTTCCCTCTCATCAACATTCTCTTGGTCATCAACGGGCTCTTCTTCATTAGCTTCTTCATTCTGATCATCTTTTGCTTCTGGTTGCTCTTTTTCATTAGCAGCCATTGGATCATCTTCTTTTGCAGCAAGCTGATTGTTCTTATCATCAGCGCCTGTAAAAGTTGTTGAAGAACTGGTATAAACGTTTTTTGGATATTTAAAAACCTGCATCATCTTGGTCCATATCTTTATTTTGTTCTTGCTCCTTTTCTTCATCATCCCACAACTTCGGATCTAATTTATTTTCCTCGGGTTCTTCAACCTGCCAAGTATTGATATAATAAACTGTAAAGAAGCTTGATGTTACTTCTCCTAGTTGATCTTCGGCTTCAGGTTCTTCATCTTCTTTATCGTCATCTTCTTCATTCTCGTTACCCTTCTCATTCTTATCAATGTCTTGTAGATCTTCAGCGAAATCCTATGAGATTATTACACTTCGAAATTTTTTCAATTGAGTAAAAACCTCTTCCATTTCGATAGGAGTTTCATTACTTCCCTTTTCTCCACTAGGTGGCTCCTGTTCTTCATCTTGCAGACCTTCAATCTGACCACTCTCTTCCATTTCTTCCGTAACGTCCTTCGCATCGTTGGAAGATTTTCCTTCACCCATTCCACCGCCCTCTCCAGCTTCATCAGTTTCTCCGTTGCCTGACTCTTGTTTGCCTTCTTTCGGAATAGTGTTGATGTAACCCTTGAAAAAAATCCTCGAAATAATCATGACTTTTCAATCCACGAACTTTTTCGAGCAGCTGCATTGCCATCGAGAGTAAAGCATAATATCCTCTTGAAAAGTGATCAAGAACGTTATGCAATACAATATTGAAGCTCTCCATAAGTTTGATAGCAATTCTTATGATGAGGATCATGTTGTCAAGCTGGTCTGGATAAGATCCACTGATCAGTTCGCTCACAACTTTATCAATCCACGCCAAAACCTAAGCAAATTAATTACTTGTGTACTCTCAATTAACTTGTTCTACTTGTTCCAAGTTGCCGCTAGATATAGCTTTGTAAGCCAAATCAAACTTTTCCATCTCCTTCATGTCCTTAGCGTTTTGAATATCCACTACTTTTTTGTAGAGGTTCTGGATAAATAACAGAGCAGGATCGAATGATGATGAATAGGTAGACATTTCAACGGGAATAACCTGAAGCGATATATCTTTTCGGCTAAGTTGTTAGTATTACCTTGATATTGGAACTCATTTCTGATATTTTATTTCTGACAACGGAGACCTCATCTCCGAAGTACTTCAGCAAAGGATCCAATGAAGATTCCAGTTCCTTCTGGACGAGAGTGAAAGATTGAAGTAAAGGAACATGAATTTTCCTAGGTAGAAAGTTTTTTTCAAAAAGTTTCAATAAGGCTTACTCTGAGAAAATAGCATTGCCTCGTTCAGCAACCATTGTCTTTGCTAGTCCTTTCAACCCTTCAACAATACCTACAGTATTGAGCACATGGCTTTGCAAGCTTCCAAAGACATCTTGACTTTTTCTCAATCTAGCAAGATCGGGATAATAGTCTGGAAATAACGAAACGTGAAGAATGAGACAAATTTTTTTCAACCTTCAATTTCTTCGTTCTCCGACTCGGGGGTTAGCTCCATCCAATGTTTCCATCCTTGCACGATAGTTTCTACTTCATTAATAAGATTTACCAGCTTTGAGCAACAGTTGTTCGTAAGTTCATGATCGATTATCCAGTCATTCTGAAGAGTAAATAATGGTCTTTTGGTAGTGAAGCAGTAGAAAAAACCTTTGAGTTGTTGCAACTTTGTTCTAACCCGCTCAAATTCAATTTGAGAGTTGACAAGGATTGGGACCATGAGCCTAACGTGTTGTAAAGCTGGGTCATCCAGCTCATACCATACTCTATAATCGGATGGATCATCATAAAACCAACTCAAACGCACCAATCATTCCGAGCACATGATTTCTAGTCGATACACTGATTTGATCGCTAGGCTTCAGTCCTAATCTTATGCACACACTTCTACCAGCGGCACATGCTCGAACAGAGCTCTGAATAGTTTTAGTAAGTATGAAGAAATCTCTAACTTACTTCCAAATCACCATCAACGAGGAGACCTGACACAGAAGTTTGTGTTATTGCTTCAGTGTTCAAACTGACAGCTTTTCTAGCAGTAAATCCGAGCGACTGAGCATCTTTTATAAGAAGAGCAACTTCTCTCTGTCGCCCATTTCTGGCATAGCCCTGAGCTTTCTCCTGCAATTCAGAAAGTTCTCTGAGTCATAATGAAAATTATTAACCTTCTGCTTGTCATCTTCATACTGATCATAGTTGATCATTACTCTTAAGTTTTCATCGCAAGACGTTACACTGGCTGTGAATTCGACAAACTTGTCAATATTACATAGCATTGTTGCTGGAAAATTATATTTTGTTCAAGTATTTTCATATAGCTTACCGTTATCCGATATGGTCTTGGCCAGACTGTTTGCTCTGAGTACAAGCTTATCGTTAGTGGAAACTTCGTCGAATATAATCTCATCAGAATCAGAGGAGTTCTCTTTCAATTCTACCAATTTGTCAAAATGAACCGATGCTTGTATATTGAGTGCTTCCTTAAAACATACTTTAATTAAATTTCATAGCAGCTAAACACCTTAAAACGTCTGATAATTTTGTACAGCTGAGCTTGTGCTTTCTTAGAGGAAACTTTAATACTCCATAAGTTCAAATCATTGTATTTCACGATTTTGACATAATCTTGTAAGGACTGATCAGCTGGATTCCTAAAAACTGCTATTCAAAAAGCTTTAACAAAGTGGAAAAGACCTGATATTCAGTAATTGTTCGTTGATTCTGGGAAGATATTGCGAAAAATGAGATGAAATTGAATTCAGTTTGAAGTTGACATTGCTATGTCCAAGAAGTTCTGCCCACTTGCTAAGAACTCTCACATTTTTTACCCTAGTCTCGAAGTCTAGGATTGTTGAATTTTGAATCCATTCAACTGCCATGGGTATAAGATTATGAAGGGCTTCCGGTGCTTAAACAGATAATAAGAGGAACCATCACAAAAATAGTACTAACTATCAGCTTGGAACAAAGCATCGAAGAGTGGATAGGAGGATAGGAAAGTTTTCAAGCGAGCTTCGTCCTCGAATCTAGTTAATAACTGCGACCAATGTCTCACCTAGAACAGTTCACGACTAAAATTAGGAGCTCAAGAAAAGACAAACCTCCATTTTTTTCCAATCCACTAGAAGTTCTCTAACTGGTGAAAGTGCACATTCCAAAGAGTTTTCTCTGTCAGCAATCTTTTGCCATTCCTCAGAGATCTCTGTAATCGAAGAAAAATGAGAAGTTTCTACAAAAAAAGATAGAACCTATGATTGTTTCAACCATTTGTGCCATTTTAGTCTGCGATGTGGCTAGTGAAACCGACGAGAAGTTGGTAATTCTTTCAACTATTTCTTTGAGTGGTATTACCTAGTATATTCTCATAACTCTCGGAAAACTGAAAATTCAACCAACCTCTGGCCACCTATCTCTGACTTCTGTTGTACGGACTTCCAACCCTTTCAAAATTTCAGTTGCGCGTCTAACCTCTTTCAACGACACACTGCGGTAGACGTCAACGTCATCTTGTTCTTTGGTAGACTCTAAGGTGAGGATCCATTTCAATGTCAAAAGATCAGATACTTGAACGAATAGAAATTGAGAAAAAAAGATTAAGAGGGCAAACCAGCTGAAGCATTATGAACGTTCTTTTTGTAAGCACCAATATCCATAACAACTTGCTGTAACCATGTTAACGCAAGCTTATAATTGATCTCAGCAGATTCCAATATAGATCTGTGATACTGTTATGTTTCGAATGACCATCACACTTACTTATCATTCAATGTTTCTAATCCTAGTCCAGCAAGCAACAAAAGATCGTTATGTGCAATGATCTCCTTATCGTTTTCCATCTACAAAATACCATATTAAGCTTCTGATTTTTCAGATTTCCTCACGTATGCAAAGAATTCTTCAACATCCAACAAATCTTTCTCTTCTTCTGATTTGTTGCGGTACATAAAATCTTTTTCAGCAGCTTTGGCGATGTTCTTTTCATACCTTAATAGCTCTATTTAGAAAAACATGTAGCCGATTTTTAATTACCATTTCTGCCACTGCTTTTTGACCCACAGCAATGTTACTTCTGATTCATCTTTGTTTTCAAGTTTTTTCTTAGCTATGGCAGATTTTAAAGCTATGGGCATAGGTGATGAGTCTCGGATTGCCCAAGCTTGCAACTCAGAACTTTCCAATCCATAGTTTGTACGGTTCATCTAAATCCGATATACTATTATAGTACTACTATAAGTTGAATACCTTGAACATTGGAGGAAAAGCTGTTGTGCTCACTAACTCTTTACGCCTCATGACTGAACTCATAATAGACAGAATATCATGAATAGTAAGCAATAGCAAATTAACTCCTTGAACGAAGGAAACAAACACATCAGGATAAGCACTGTACTTTTGCCAGGTAACCTTAAAACAGACCGAGTATTAACAAGATTGGTAATTATCTCACTTTTTTGAAGTTGTCAGCACTCATTACAAATGAAATGAAAGTTGAAGTTGTCAAATTTGCTTTTTTATCATCTATACTGCCAAGTTCTTCTAGCGCTATCACTCTTTCAACCTCTTGCAGAATTACATTGCACACAGATAGGAAAGCTCGTAAATGAGAGCAGAGCTCGAAATACTGAAATAAAATGTTATGAATTTCCTTATTTGTGCTAAACACCTGTTCCGCTTCTGGTCGATAAGCTGCATCGCATTCAGTTTCTTGCTTAAGTTCTTCCAGCAGTCTGAACTTTTCTTCGTTCAGTGCTTGAAGAACAGGATGGTGTATTGGTAAAGTGCTTATTTTTTGTCTTAATTTTCACAGTAGAAAAATTATAACAGTTAGGAAAAACCTCGACGAAGACTCCAACTGCTCCATAACAAGCTGAATCTGTTGCTCCACTATTGCCAGCTTCCTAGTTAAATAGCTGTGATTTTCCTCTTTGAAAACTACAGGATCGAGAGAAGAGGATGGAGGAAGAGACTAGAACATAGATATGACAGGAATAGGATATATGTAGCGTACCATATTCAATAATGCCTTAGCCGAATCTACAGCTGTCCTCCATGAAAACGAAGTTCGTTCTCCATTTGAATACCAACCCGATTCTGACTGAACTACTCTTACGATCTCTTTTCTGAATAATCATATGAGAAGAAAAATAAAAATATTAAATGTACTCTATTTTTTCAGATATCACGTGAGAGCTTGGTCCCAGTTTCCACAACTCGTTGATCATTTTAGGAATAGAGAATTTTTGAAGATCTTCCACTGTCAGCCCTTGAAGGTTGACATCAAAACCAAGGATCTGCCATAATCTTGTATAAAGCATGGCGAAGCATCCTACACGAGATATTTCCAAAACCTACAATGATCCAGATAAATAGAAATGATCAGAAACAACTCACTCTCTGTTCTTCTGAAAAATCAGATATTATAAGATCTGTATATCTAACACTCTGCTCAGCTTCTGGAGAGTGCCAAATGACGTTGTCAAATATTTTCTGTGAAGCGAAAAGGAACTCCTTCTGTAACAATATTTGAACCTGAGTGTTAATTTATAATTATCCAACCTCATCATACTTATGGGAACATAAAAACTTTAGAAGGGAATGCATTCTGTTCACTTCTGATGAAATTATTGAAAGCCGAGACTCTTTTTTAGGAACATTATCCTCGTCTTGATTCTCCATTATTTCTTCTTCGTTTACAAACCGCAAGCTTTCCACACAAGTTAGGAACCTAGGTCAAAAAGTTAATCAAGAAGAATAATGGAGATACCTGTCGTGAATGTCTTGATCAGGGAACGGATCGGAAAACCTGTAGTTGTTGTAAAGAATGAGGAAAGATTTGAGAAAACGATTATGTTCTTCAGAAGACCAACCCTTCTCAAATAATTCAACAAACTTATGAATTCCACCCACACTTCAAAGAAAATTTGTCAGAGTAACACGAATCGTATCAAACCTGGTTTGGTGCAAATGAGAACAAAAGTCATTCCAGGCTATGTATATGGGAGCGATGCCAGACCTGGACATTATGGTAGCCCTAACAGATCCGACAAAAAGTGATAATGAAATACAGAAGAGAAATATCTGTGAAAAAATGGTTGTTACAGAAGATTACACTAAAGGTACGTTGTTGATTTCTCCTCCAACAGTTCTTTCTTTCAAAGTTTTGAGAAGCTGATCAATCAAGCTTGCTACTAAAGGCAAACTTTGGAAAGAGGCAAACATTGTTTTCATTTCATCTGAAAAACATGTGACCAATTATAAATATAAAAAACATTATATATCTTACACTTAGACATAGTTCTTGAATTATGTTCTGCAGATTGTGGAGACATAGGTATTTCTGACAAACAGTATTGACACCATTCGAGGATAACCGAAGTAATATATCTACAGAGTATTGTAAAAGATAAGATTATATAATCAACAAAAGAGAGAAACCTTTTCAAGTTTTCATCTTCTTCAACTACTGTTTCGTAACAATGATATCTGGGATCAATGGCGTGAGGGACATTCGACGAATCCTTCAACATTTCTCTGATATTTTTGATGAACGGCACAACTTGAACGCATAATTTAGCGGAGGATAGAAAATTTTTGTTTACCTCGTTCGCCGAAAGACTTTTCAACTGTTTCACAGAAGATCACCGACGGAGAACAACTAAGGAAGCAGTGCAGAAATTTATCAGGAACAGTTCCTTTTCTGTTCAACCATGATGTTAAAAACCAGTTGCTCGCTCTAAAAGAAATTTCCTGCACAAGCAACAACTTCATCATACATACCTCTCAGAAGTCAAGTCAGATACAGGAATCGATTTAAAATATGAAGCTAAAGAGTAACTGTCGTCCAATTGGAGTCCCAAAGATTGGGCTGCTGTTTCGAAGCTGAATTCAGATAACAAGATGAAGAAATGCAATAGATTTTCCGGAGATGCACTGCACAACGTGGTAGCAAACTGAAAAAGAGCGTTTAACTCTATATTGAAAGATCAAACAAACCTCTTGTGGGAAAGCTTGCGAAAAAGGCAAAGTATCTAAACGGAATGGGAGCAGAGGTGTTTCAGGACATAATGAAATGATATCATTTGCAGATGTATTCCACATCTGTTCTGGCTGCATGAATATCTCTACACTTCTATTTCTCATGGCTCTGGAAATGTCGCCGTTTTTGTGATCCATAGATAGAAAAACTCTGCAAGCAAAAACAAACAAATGATGATGAAGAGATTTCAAGAATACCTGAAGTTTTGATGAGCTTCCAGCGCTTCATAGGATGATTGTCTTTCTGATATGACAAGTTTACCACCAGTTTCCAAGCAACTATTGAGTCGATCAAGTACGGCAGCACTGAAAAAATTATGCAAACAAAAAAAAAGTTCTAATACCTGCACAAATTCACATCTTCTATCAAAATCCAATGTCCTTCGAGGAAAGCCTTAACAAAAACACTATCGATCCAGGCAAATCTCATATCAGAGCGAGAAGCTATTTCCAAAAATTCTCGACACTCCTGAATCAACCCTGCATGACCATCAATAAGCTTGATAACGCTCTGAATCAGCTGTAAGTTAAGAACTTTCAAGAAGGCATTACTTCAACAGCAATCTCCAACGACAATAAATCTTCAGCGTTAACAATAGCTTCCAGTTTCTCCCCACTCAAAATCGTTTGAAGATTCTCAACAATTTTTTTTTTACCAGAGGACAACGCTTCCGTATCAATAACCTAAACACTCCGTATGATAAGGAAATCTTGAAGATATCACTTGTTCGTACGATCCTATGAGCTCTTGAGCATCAGTTTCAGAATTCAGGGTGAGAGTTACTAAACCAACTCCACAGAGATCTGCCAAAGTTTGTACAGTTGATCTTTTACCAGAGTTTCTATAAATGACAACTACGATTTGAAATATTCTTCGAACCCTTCTTACTTTGGACCAACAAGGAGTGTTAGCCAGTTATGTTCAACACAGTTTGCTACTTGAGACAACAGAGTAAGCTGACTAGATAAAAGAAAACTCGATGAAGACTTCACTGATATTCGAGGCAAACAGGCTTCCCCGATCTTAATTAAATCAGAGCCAACTGTGGCTGCAATAGGCAGTATACTGTAAGGAATCTGGAAGACTTCTTCATACAGTTCACGAAGCTGGAAAAAGATAGATAATAGGTTACGGTTAAAACTTTGCTACTTTTTGTCTATCGATATCGAGTCTCATTCGGGAAACATACAGAAGGTCATACGCAGCTGCCATACTTTTCTTCTGAATAGAAAAAAAATATTATTCAATACTACTAAGCAGTCTTATACCGAGGAATAATAATCCAGCCAACGTAGCAGATCTCTCAGATTGAAAGAATATGGACCACCCACAAGAGTTGTATCATCGGAGAGTCTCTTGTTAATTTCCACCTAAAGCACTGGTATTAACAATAAAATCAAAAGATACTATGAACCATGGAGTGAATTTGTTGGTCGGTTAAGACGTTATCAACATCGATTTCCTTCAGAATGAAAACAATATCTTCAACGGTTAAATCATCCACCCAAATCTGATGATAAAAATAAATTGGCGTCGACTAATCAGAAACTCACATTTGTGAATCTATTGACAAAAGATTTTGGTAAAGCTCTTCTATTTCCACCTTGAGCTCTCGGGTTTTGACATGCGAAGAAGCGGCAGCCATTACCTGAACAGTTGTCAATTGACTATCTTCAGAGATAATAATAGTACCTGTAGGTATTTCAAAAGATTTGTTCAGCTCCGCAATAAACAGAACTTTTCTGTGATCGAAGCAAGCATTGAGTCCTTCAAGAACGGATTGAGAGGCTAAGTTCATCTAGAACATTGATAGTTACTTTTATGTTGAAAAATGGCTAACCTCATCAAGTAGAATCCATTCGCCTTTCTTAATGGCGCGCAGAACTGGACCATCTTCCCATTTGAAAGAAATGGTTCCATCATCTGTTACTATCGGGATATCACTTCCGAAAAGATCCGTAAGGTCCTAAATACCAAATTATCTCATATATTAATTTTAAAAAAATACAGTTTGATCGGATAAATTCAATCTAGTGATAGGATGACCAGTAAGTTCAGCTAAAGCCATGACGGTACTTGATTTACCACAACCTGGTGACCCTTCTAACAGTATGGGCTTGTCGATAAGTAGAGCTCTTTAAGTGAAAAAGATCATAAAACCAGTGAAATTAATGCAACCTTGCAATTCTGTAGAAGTTTGAGATACAGGTTGGAGCATTCAATGAGAAATGCTTAGGTAGTTTGACAGGTAAACAACCATGTGGGATGCTTAGAGGTCCAATCTGAACATCCGAAGGTCCACGAACGATAGAGCGAACGATAGATGTTTTGCAAATAGAATCTTGTTTGACTATGCGGAGAAGCTGAAAGGACAAAAGTTATGAACGATCTTAATCTGCTTACTATTCGCTCTGCATCATCCAAAATGGCAGAAACATCTACAACCATTCGAGTCGGTTGACTAGCAATCGCATCGAGGAATACAGCAGATAAAGCTTCGTGAATGGCAAAGAGCTGTGAAACAGATTTCTCTACACAAGAGGCAAATATATCCGCGCACGCTACAACATCGCGAACTGAAGCAGAATGTCTGGAAGACAGTAGTATTAGAAAGATCTGCTGAATTTAGAAACCTGAAGACATGAACGTATTTTGAGAAAAACTCCGCTATCCATAAAACGATAGTCCTGGATGCAGAAGAAGGTTTCGTGATATTCAAAGAACTTGGAATTCTCATGTCGAAAATTGCAATGAGCTCATCCTTTTCATAATCATTCGACGACCAGACCTCGGTGAACCGATTACGTAAAGCTTTGGATAACTGTAAAGACAACAAGTTAGTAGATGGAACAAAAATGTTCGAACCTCTTTCTTTCCATAATCTCCACCGGGGTTCATTGTAGCTATCATTTGGAAACCTGATGCTGAAACCACACTTTGAACATCAACTCCAGCATCGGATAGAAGAAGTGTGCGTTCCTAGAAAAGTGCGCGAGTAAGGATATTCTTTGTATAAAAAAAGTTTTCTCACTTCCTCGAATAAAGGATTCAGACGTTCAAGCACAGAATCTTCCGCTAACGATATCTCATCAATTAATAAAGGATATCCTGAGCGCATTGCTAGAATCACAACACCATCTGACCATTCGAATCTAAGAATTGTATCAATACAAATTGCATCTGCTGTTCATAATCACCCTCCGCCTTCTTTAGGACGTAACCGCCCAAGGAAATCAGCAGTTTCAGTTCGCTCATGACAGTTTATTGAGAGAAGTTTTTCCCCAGAAAGAGTTTGAGCCAGACTTGTTTTACCACCTCCAGTTTCACCAACCATGAGTACTGCTTCGTCACGAAGCCAAGCCTAAACACATTTTTGAGATACTGCTAATTATTCTCACCTGGTAAGTCATAACAAGCATCCGGCGCATTCCTACAGTTAGAACAATACGATCGTATTGCAAATGGCTGGGAAAATACGGTGAAGCCTTGTCAAAAAGGGCAGATGTCTGAGAAAAAAAAACTAAAAAACGTAGTAAAGACAGACTATACATCAATGGTTCTTTTCAACACTTTCTCCAACGTTTCTACAACAGTTTGTTCATCTTTCTTATTCCTGCATCGACCAGCCAGCAAGAAATATCCGTGATTAATTAGAATCTATGATGGAAAAAATTATTCATTTTTAGCATATCTATTAAAATTATACTTGAAGCCAATCATCGGATGTTTCATCAGTAGACAAACGCTTAGCCCATCTAAACACATCACGCAGAGTCATTAAACCTGGGTTTTCAAGAATATTATCTAATAACATATTAAAATCGCAATACCATCACGAGCTGAGAACAATCCACTTAAAGATCTTTGGGATCTCAATTCTGTTAGAACGGATATCATTTTGGTAGCGGCCGACTGATGAACTTCACACCTAGTGCACACCTGCAAGACCGTTTAATAAAGGTGAGATCTTTGTAGCCTACCATAGCCGAAAGCTCATCCATAGGAAGGTGGTTGAACCTTATGACCACGAAACGCGATAACAATGCGCGTGAAAGGCGCTTTCTACCAGCATAAGTACCAGCAGGATTTTGAGTCGCAAAAAGTCTAAAACGTCTATGAGCTTGAACTGTGGTATTCAGTTCTGGTATGAAGAGCTCTCTATTATCATCAAGAAGCTAGAAAGCGAGAATCAATTTTTCACATTTCTAGCTCACTATGTTACCCTATTCAAAGCCTCAATCACATCTGTAGGAGCCAAGTTCAACTCGTCCAGAATAACCCAACTTCCATCACGAACTGCTTTAACTAGAGCACCTTCTCTGAATACAAGTCTTCCGTTTTCATCTGCCACATATGACCCCATATATCTGGAAGAAAACAATGCAAAAGAAAAACATACTTTCAAACATACTCTTGAACATCAGTGTGTTCGTGGTTATTAATTCGAACAACATTGTTTCCAGTTATTTTCGCCAGATGGCAAACAATGGAAGTTTTTCCAGCACTTGTTTCACCTTCGAGGAGGATGGGAAACCTGTTGGAGATGAAGCATAAAATCTTTTGGAAGTAGGCTGCTTTACCTGCCGCTGCAAACTATTCTTCCAATTTCGGCTAAATTCTCTTTCACAGTTTTAGTTATTACATAGTTTTTATCAGATTTTGGAAACAGCGTCCCTTGTTCAATCCAATAACCCATTACCTGTAGAGAACGAAAACATAAATCACCAACTGTTCTATCTTACATTTACGTAACTTCTATCCGAGTCCTTACGGGGTTCTGGTATCGGTACATTGTCTTGCAGTTTGAACGTACTCCTAATGGTGAGTTTCATTTGCTCTTTCTCCCCCGTGTTCAAGTTCGTAAGAAAAGCCATGCAAACCTACAGAAAGAATTTAGATAACCGCAGAACAATGAACTGTACCGCTTCAAATAAAGATCGCTCTGTACTGCCGAACAAATTGTCAGCAGCAAAAAGTAGAGCTCTACATAATGTTCGCAAACTGCAAAATAGATTTAAACTTTTTTCCACGAACTAATGCTCACCTGTAACTATTTGGATACGCTTCTTTTGATTGCAAGTAAAACTTGACTAGAGTTTCAGCTACGCTATGTTTCATACTTGGTAAGTAAGAAGAAACCACCAATCCTAATTGTATTGGATCATTCATTTCATCTACATAAAATTCGTTAAACCTAAACATTATGTTGAAAAATAGTTATGGATTTTTGAACTTACTTGGTTCGAACACTAGGTGGAAGCCTACGCTTCCCAGCATCTGTAGCTGGGTTCATACACGCAAAAAGACGGAAGTTGGGATGGCTTTTGGATGCTATAGCGTGAACGATGGCGTCAAGGCATTCAGGAGAAGCCAAATTGATCTGGAAATATACTTTAATAATATTTCAGTATATTCATAGATGAACAACCGCATTCTTGGAATAGCAAAAAAAATTGTCATGAAGTGAATAGCGCGCTACATATTCTAATGTAACGTTATTCAAATATGTTAATCACAACGCTTTCAAACAATCAGCTTATGGAAAGTAAAAACATACCTCATCAATGAGCAGCCAGTTTCCTTCCTCTATGGCTTCTAACACAGCTCCTCTCATTATTGTGAAAGGAACAGCATTTTTTTCCAATCCCTGACGAATTCTGCGAGCACGGACCACTACTTCAGCCCATCTCGGATCCTATAACACAAGAGAAAAATTAAAAAACCCGTGCTTGTTCATTCTTACGTTTTGCTCTTTACTCATCAAAGCTTTGTTAGCAGTCTTCTCAACCACTATTAAATAATCTTTATATCTACCGCTGGATAGACAACTCTGAAACATTTTCTAATGACAAAACAACGGGTGAGCCCACCTCTAGATTCGATAAGAACTTTTCGTTCTTATTTTTATCGTAAGAAGATGTGAAAACATCGTAGTAGAACTTCGTGAAAGGTTCTAAGATATACGCCAAAGTAGTAGGTTTATAACTGAAATAATAAGATGATAAGTCAAACATAAATCACTAGCATACCCTTCAATCAACTCGTCAGAATCTGATGTGGGGCTCACGTTTACAACTTTTAAAGGAATATGAAGAGAAGATGCCAAAGCTTGAACAACGGAGGTCTTTCCAACTCCTGTTTCTCCAACTAAGAGAACAGGCTCGGAATATCTAACACACACACTGATTCTTTCCATAAGTTGTAAAACATCCCTAAGAGGAACATGGTGAAGCCAACCAAAAAAAATCTTTCAAACCTAGTATGTCCGAGTCTGTGCTTTTGAACAACTTTCAGAGAAGGAACCTTTGGTAATACAGCTCTTCCTATCTTGACCTGATAGTCATCGTGCGACAACGATGGTTGTCTAGCTAACAAATGAAATGACAACTGATCCCCTGTTATATTCAAACAAGTAGCTACCTGATGAAGAAATAAAGGGTTACGAAACAATGCAAAGCATACCTCTTCACATAATATTCGGGATCGCTTAGAGGGATCAGATAAACACCAACAATCAACAATTTCAACAAAAATCTCCATATTTGAAGATAAATCAACAGTATTAGAAGACAATCGAGCACAAGCTCGCAACAAATCACTGAAAGTGAAATCTCAATCAGAAAGTAAGGAAAATTATACTCACACAGAAGTTAAATATCTAGAATTTGCATGAGCAGGAACAGCCTGGACTGCAAGGAAAACAGAAACAAGGGTCTTAGCTAGATGAGCACAGCGAGGGTACGACTGAAAATCTGTATAAAGAAAGAATTCATGATACGAAAACTTACATCAATAATTAATCTTCTTAACTCTTTTTCAGTTAAAGAATTTAGAAAAACTCTCACTGGTACTCCTTCCAAAACATTATTTCTTTTACCGCGTGCACTGAAAGTTTTACTGAAGCAGACCTCTGATATGCTAAGCAAACCTCGAAGTAGCCACAATCCGAACACTATCATCAAACAATACTTCATCCCCAGAAGGTAACAAAGCTTTTCTGGATGAAGTTAAATCAACAACTTTTGCAACAACATCGGCATTTGCCATATCAATATCTTCAAGTAGTATCAGGCAAGGCTCTTTCAACCACTGAAAAAGCAGAGAAATAAAAAAGTCCACTTTGAGTAAACTCACCAGAGTGAAATTAGAACATTTATAACGAAATTGCCCAGCCACCTCAGTACTTTGGTAAGATCCGAAAAGACTCTGCAACAGAGGAAGTAGGCTTAGACATCTTCACTAAAACTACCTTCGAGTCAATTTGATCACCTAGTTGCATCACTTTAACGGGGAGTTTCAAATCATTTCCAACATGTTTTGCAATGTAAGTCTTACCGCATCCGATAGGACCCTATAATAACTATTACTATTTGATTTAGGCTTTTCTCTTACCTCTATGAGGCAGAATTGTTTCTGTTTGATTGCAACTTTCAGCTGGTCTACGGTGGCTTGCCTAGTTGGTAACACATTACCTATTTCTAAATTAATTATAATTCACAAATGAACCGTTCTGTAACGAACCTTCCGTTGAATCTTTTAAAGAGCCTAAATTTCCCGTGCATGCTTTCTTAGGTTTGCTGATCTCAATTTTCTTGGATTCGCTTTCCTCCCTCTTCCGTTTAGATGCTTGATCTTTTTTCTTTCCTTTGGCCATACTGAAAAATTAAAATAGATTTCGACAACTTCTGCATATTATGATGTCAAAAACGTTTCCTGTTAAAAAAGCAATCGAATATTTTTAACCTTAGGATTTTAAATCAGTAATTGAAAAATTGCAGTGTACGCAATTGCGTAATATACCATCAAAAAATTACATGCGTATCTTTCGATAGAATATTTCAATATTTTGCTTACAACGTTTTCATATTCTTTTCCTGATTATGGAAGAAGCAATCGCGGATCGCATCAGTCTGTTAGAGGAGACTCTTGGAATCAGTGAAAAAAACGATGTGAGTTTATACTTACTGATTCTTTAACCAAATTTAAAAGATTAAAAGCTCGGATCTTGATGTGCATGGGTTGATCAAGAACCTCGAAAGTAAAGGATTGAACCATATTCTGAAAACACCAATTGATGATCTTAAAAGATTACGATCCGTTTTGGATTCTGTGAGTTTTATAAAACCTTTGTCTTTTCTCATTATTTATCGTTCCAGCATGACAAAGATAATTTAACTGAGATGCTTTCTAACCTCGTTATAGCCGAAAAGTCCCTCATCGAAGAGAGAGCCGGAATGATTGAAGAATTCCAAACGAAACTTGAAGTCTGTTGAAATAGCTACTAGTTGTTTTTTCTTACGTATATCAGGTTGTTCTGGATTGTACATATATTAAAGACGTCGAAGAACAATCCAAAGTTTTGGATAAGCTAGAGAAATCAACGGAAGAAGTTGTCACCGAGTGGAAGCAGTAAGTCTCTAGTTTATCATTTTTACGTTAATCCCCTGTAGACATTGCCGTAAAATACAAACTTTTATTAACGAGTATGTGTGTCTTATACAAGGATTGGTACAGTACCAAACAAAGTTAGAAACTGAGGTGAGGTTCCCTTTCAAACCATTGCAATCTTCTCTACTATTAGGTAACACAACTGGAGCTCATGAAAAAAAGAAATAATGCCAAATCCTGAATGTAGACGAACATGTAAGATCATTCAGAAACTTCGATAATGATCTTTCGATGACTTGCAGTCGCGTTCCTCAAAAATACGCATGAATTAGCATATTTTTACGTGGGACGTTCCCATTTATTTATTATTCTTACAATTCTCGAACGGTTGTTTGTATTATCTCCTTTCTTTCCGCTTTATCCCTGTCAGAACAAGTAATATAACCATAAAAATACATACTAACTAAAGTTTATATGGATGAGAGCTTGTTTATTATTACAACTGAGAAATGTTCAAAGAGTGAAAACCCGACTATACAGAATTCGCAGCTTAAATTAAATGCATCCATAAGGAAACAATAACCCCAAATATAAGTTTCATAACAGATTTGATTAATGCAAGACAAATTAAATGAACAAATGGCTGGTAAAACATTAAGAGGATCAAACTACTCATTACGCTATGTTCTATTGTCATCCTCGAAAAAACTCCCGGAATAACACTAGGTGCAGTAACAGCAAAGTTCCATGTAAGACACGGGAGAAAACATAAAATGCAAATCTTACGCAGGGTGTAGGTTGCCAGATTCATGAAATCGCCTTCTTCATAACATCATCGAACACTATGAGCGCAGATAAACTATTGAAAGCAGTATCTCCGAAGGTTAAACATTACAACAAGCAAGACCCCCCTCAGAAATACATGAAAAATGTTTGGAATATTGTGCCCTATCTCCATTCGCAAGCGTTCCTTGACGCAACAAGGGCTGCCAGAGATTGCAGTCGCTACAATACTTTTGGTTATAAAAACATATACGGTAAGCACTACGCGTTGACTTGAACTCGAACACAAGTTTTTAACCTTTTTATTTAATCTTTTGTGTTGATAAAGCATGAGCCTCATAAACACTTCTATAAATAGATTGACTAGAGATGTTTGATACCGTAACACGGATTTGCAAAGTGAAGCACATTAATCACAAGAATATAATTTTTTCTAGTTTTCGCTAGGTAGATACGATGGATGTACAAAGAAAAAAGAATAACATGGGAATGAAAAATATCCAAAAGTAAAAGAAAGGAATGGTGAATTAAGGACGAAATAGCTTGAGCTCCGCCATAAGAAACTCGGAAAGACAATGAAAACTGTTGGTGCATAGCCTGGATTGGAATGTCTTAAACTTCACAAACATGACAAGATAGGTTCAAAATAAATTTCAAAAAGGAAACTAAGATTATCACAACGTTAGTAAAACGCTAGTTATAACAGTCATATAATATTATCCTACTTCACACAGGTAAATATATATAAATAAGATTAGTGTGTAAAGCATCTTATGTCTATCATAGTCACCGGTAATTTTGAGTCCGCTCCTATCGATGTTAGACCTTTCTGTTAATTAAACTAAAAAATAAAAACTATTTGAGCACAGGAAATGATAAGTGCGAGAAGTGGTATAATATGAGTCACTAATGGAGCAAGAGAGGACACAGAATCATCTTGACGACTGATAGATCGAGCCATAAGAGCGGAAGGATGTCTTCCTCCGAAATCAGTGGTTTCTTCTGTCGTTCCAAACATTACTAAATCCCATTTAACAAGCTCAGCATCTGAAAATGGCACTACGTAATGAAGTTTTAACCCAGAAGTTACCATCCCATCCATCATTGTCAATTTCTAACGTCCATAAGCCTGTTGCTGTTTCTCCCCAACTGTGAGTTGTCATGAAAGCCCATTCCACGAAACCGGCTCGAGAAGCATCCCGTGAGCGTTTAGTTAATAGAGTCGATCTTGTACCTATTTAAGAATTTTTCATTGAAATCTTCGAATATTCGAAGTTACCTAACGGACTAGTCAGATAAATTTTTATATCACCACGTTTAGGAGCTTTCAGAGATATAATGGCTTGAACGTGCTCTAAATATACAACATGGTGGCCAGGATCAGCGAGACAGCCATCAGTGTATAATTGTAGTTGTAATCTATTTCCGTTTGGAATAGCTCTGAAACAAGTTTTTACTCATATGATACCACGATGAACTCACTTGAATCGACTAGGATAGAATTGCCAACACACGCGTTGAGTACCAACAGTGGTCCAGTTTTTCGCTAGCCGAACCATTGCTCCAGCATCCATCAACCCATACCTAAATCAAATCTTTATTCAATGTTCAAAAACTTAACAATACCCGAAACTGTGAGAGACATTTCGACCAACTCCATTCGTAACCCAATCTCCAGCTCTCAAGTGTATAGGTTTAGCAGTTCGTATGACAATATGCTGAAATATAATTTTAAAACTCGAAAACAAAACTGGGTTACCTGAAGATCTCTCCATGTTAATTCAGGATTAGCTTCTAAAGCTAGAGCAACAATGCCAGCTGCTAAAGGTGCAGACGCTGATGTTCCAGTATGAGTATGAGTACACGCATGATGGAGATCAGTTGTTACCTTCAAACGAAACTTTTAAAGAATTGAAAAATTCAGAACTCACAATCATTTTCTCTCCACTAGCCCCACTAGAGTATGTAGTTGCTAATGTGCTGCTACAGGCTTCAGAATACCATGGTATGTTGCCGTTTTCAGTGGCCGATGATATTGATAACGTGTAAATACTACAAAAAGGAACATTATTAAGAGTCAAACTTATAGATAACCTGTTGGTATATCCGTCACAATTGCAAGAATCGGCATCTTTTCCTCCATTTCCAGAAGCCCAGATGAACACAGAACCTTTACCTCTGCGCCCTTCACGGATACCTCGTTCAAAAGCTGCGCGAGTTAATTTAGCTGGACCATCAACCGTACGCCCATCATCGTCAGGTCCCCAAGAAGCACTGAAATAAATGTTTCAGGCAATACAATTATATCTTATTACCTATAAATATCGATGTAATCCGAATTGTGACCAAGTGAAGCAGCTTCTACAGCGTCACTCACATCACCATCAAGCATACGGATCCCTCCAATATGGGCGTTATATGCGATGCCAACAATGCACAAGCTGTTATTGAAGATAGCGGCAACTTCTCCCGCACATCTGCAATTATAGATATATTTCTCTGATCCAGACAATATGGATTCTTTTTGATCATGCCGCTTCTTTGATTTCATACTAAAATATGACACATCATGAAACAATTTTGACATTCGTTCATCTCTAACCATTCTATAGGCATGATAACACGAATGACTAAATCAAACAGTCTCATAATACAAAGACATCAACGTAATATTATTTCAAATTACTATACCTCGTTCCATGTCGGTTCTCATCGGAATATTCATAGCGTGGCATTGGATCATCGTCTCGGTCGTTCACGTCATAAGACGCGCGGGCATCCTAATAAAGAGAAAAGACTAATTAAAGACTTAAGAAGAATTTCTTACGTAATTAGGAGATATATCAGGATGTGTTCGTTCCAGACCGTCGTCAAGAATTGTGACAACAACCCCTCGTCCTGTATATCCAAGGTCCCATGCTTCTTTAACATTATGATCCATTTTAGTGTTAGAGGAGAGATCGGCTCTATTCTAAATAAGAAAACAATAAAAGACATAAATAAATATAAAAGATCTGTGAAAACACGGCTTAACTACTCACCAAATACCACATGTCGGTCCACAGAGGGTCATTAGGATCTGGGTATTTACGATTTCTCGACTTGCTCACTAACGAATCATCTTCATTATAGATAATGTCATTTGTCTGCAAAAAAGTAAAAATAATATATTTTCTTCTTCATCTCAAATCATACATCATCGTGCATTCGACTATTTCGTTGATATCGGCGAAAATCTCGTTTGACGCGCTTTTTAGCGACTTGTTGCTCTACCCATGTTATCTAAAAGAAAAAAGTGATCATTTTCCGCGAATCAAAGTATGTATAAAACCTCAGGCTCATGTGTGATAGCGTTCAACTGCAAGCTACGTGATTTTCTCGAAGATCTGGTACGTTGATTAGCATTACGAAAAAGGAAATAATCTTCACCCGGAATAATCTGGAAAGAGTTATCAATTTCGGACTTAACACACTTTAATCTGTTAAAAAATAATGAAAAAAGGCTTACTCGACCCAGAAAGATATACCCATATTTGGAAGCCAGGGCCTTTGCTTTAGTTTCATCCGCTCCATCTATACGAAGGGCCCATTCATTTGTATAAGCTTTCCTCAAAGCCGAGGCACTTGAGGATGTGGTTGAAGTTAGAAAATATGCTTCCTGAATAGAACACTTTCATAATTGATGAAGTAGAGACAACGAACGTACATCTGTTTTGGCTGATATTGATGAAATTGAGAGTAGAAATATGCAAAAACAAAACAAATCAAAAAAAGAAAAAACCTGCCGAGTCCTGCAATTGGATTGTAGATGAGAAAGTGAGAAACAAGGAAGTCTTACCGTCTGCATATTGAAAACGGTCTTGTAACGCAGTTAGGTATGAGATCCATAAAAGGAGTAGCAGAGGTCGGATAACGACAAATCAAATAATTCTTTTCAGCATAGCCGAAGAATCAAATAACCAGCAAATCACAGTTCTGTTAAGAAGAACGTCAGATGTTTCCGACAACTTCCTCTGAACTGCTCAACACCTTTCAAACTGAAACAGAACTGTGAAATTGTGAAACAAGTGTGTGATGAAATTGAATAAGACGAGTAATGTGAAATACAATTCCATAAAAACGTTTGATGACTTTAGAAAAACCAATAACTCTTCTAGAAGGGGTTGATACAAACGAATGAACTTCAGAAGGGTCAACGCGAGAAGTTCATTAGGTTGCTTTCGTACGAATACGGAAGACGTTCATTAAGAAAAATGACGAGAGAGGACAATGTTAATGAGACATTCTGAAAAGAACACAAGATTGTTTTGCTACTTGATATGCTTGAAGGCTTAGAAAAAGAAATGGATGAAATAGTCTCTGTCTCTCTCTCTCTCTCTCTCTCTCTTTCCCTCCCTCTCTGTCTCACTCTTTCCCCTACCCTTATAATTTTTTGACTTCCTAGAATCTTCGCAACAGGTGATCAGAGCGAAATCTATTGAGGAAACAGCAACCTCAACCAACCCACATATGTACATCGTCGGCTTCATTGCCATAAGTTCAGAATATTTGACTGTCGCCGCTAGGGGACCATTTAGATCCTTCAGATCCTACACTATTCATTTTCTCTCGAGATTTGACTACGATTATGCAAATTACGTGACTCAGGGCGACCGATTCACGTGCGACAGACAAGGGTCGAAGGGAAATGAGACGGAAACCAGAAGGAGGATTTGCTTTTCTTGGCCCGATTGGCCATCCGAATAATCAAAACGTTCCAGACGACTGCAGACATCTGCTGAACGAGACGTAAAGGTCATCGCAGTCTATTTTAGGAAAATCTCCAGATAACTTATAATACTCATGAGAATCATAGTTTACATTCAAAATATGTTTAAAGAAGTTTTTAAAGCATTGAACTCAGTGCTCTAAATTTAAATAAGCGGAGCAAGAAAGAAGCTCCAGAAGGAGAAAAACTTCGAAGTAACTTAAAATACATTTGAAAGCTCAATATATCGGAAGTTGTCGACCTTAGCTACTTTTTAAATGAATAAAAGAGAACAATCGATCGAAAATAAGACTAGGTCCATGCTCATGATCACTGATAAGAATGAGATTAGTCTGTTTATGTGCCTCCTTCTTTCAAAATGGTAAAAGATGAAGAAGGCACAATCAAAAAAACCGGAACACCAAGCAGTTTTGAGAAGCTGAAATACGGAATATCGTGCGATAAGAGTAGCGATTAAAGCAAGTATCTCTCCATGACGAGTTTAATAAGTAAATTCTCTTTTAATCTCAGATTATGATTTTCATTGGAAAAAAAAAATTTTCCGTTACAACCAAGTAAGATTGAAATTAAAAAATATGTCGTTTCGCATAAACAAAGCACCAATAGCCTAATATCATATTCTAACGAAAATGAGAATTAACAAAATGAAACGGAAGTCTGTTGGAAGAGAAGACGACTAATAAGAAATCTCTCTCTTTCCGTCTACCTCATAAGCACTCTTTCTTCTTCCTCCTTCTCTTTCTCTTTCTCTCTCTTTCTCTCCCTCTCTCTTTCTTTCTCTCTCAGGCTTATTCATGTGAAGGTTAAAAGAACATTGAAGCAATGACTAACACAATAAAGGAAAATGTGAATCAATATTATCATAAATCAACAAAACTCCTTCTAATATTATTAGGAAAAATCGATAATGTTTGTAAACATGAAGGAGGGGGGGGGGGGTGGTGGCTGTGTGGATAATTATGAGAAAGTAGTCTGTTGTTTCCACTTTGTAGAAAGAGGGAAGTGATCAAACGATAAACTACAATATAGAATCAACCGTTCAACACATTCAATCAAAATATAAATGAAGATGGCGAAGCACTTGAGTTACGTGAAAGACGTGGAATAACAAATGAAACCAAAAGTTTAGTTAAATGTTTGTTGAAACAACGACTTAAAGCTATTTCTCGGATGATTCATTCGTAGACAGCTTCAGCGGACATTATTTAAGAAGAATTTTGTATAAAACGTACGTCTTCACACAGACGTGAAACAGAGGAAGAAAGAGGTTGTTTTCAACTAAAAATCATTCAACGAAAAGTCTGACCTCACAAATGCTTGTATGAAAAACAAACAAATTGATAAAAACTTCTATCAAAGTTTTCAATCCTCAAGTGGTTGCTTAAACCCAATAAAAAGATTTATATGTGAGGATGATTGTTAAATTAAAAATGACGAAGATTTGAGGAGACTTTGTGGATTCTTCGACGGCCTGCTCTTCTCTTTCTCTTTCTCTCTCTGTCTCTTTCTCTCTGTTCGTTTGCGTGTAACGAACGAAGAGCAACAGAATGAAAGAAAAGACTATTCAGAGATATTATATATAATAAAGAGTATTTAGAGCATCAGGATAGCTATAAACTACAGGTAAGAGAGAGGATCAGAGAATAAGAATGAAAATTGTCGTAAGAAAGAAGGACAGGTGTTTTGGTAGACAAGGCCAGTGACCGTAGAGTAAGGAGGCACATAGAGTTGTGAGCGGAAGAATGGGCGAAACGAAGAAAAAGACTCAAACGAAAGGAAAGTCTTCCAAGAGATAGAGAGAAAGAAAGAGAGAAAAGGCAGGATCTAGAGATAGAGACACAGAGAGAGAGAGAGATTGCAACACCTCAAGAATAGCAACAAAAATTAAGAAAAATGAACAAGGTGCCAACATGTGCAAATGACCATCGGACATCATTATATTTTGGTCAATTAACAGTCCAACCAACATCCTGTTGGCTATCCGTTGACTGATCTAGATCAAGAGGAAGGCATAGAAGAGAAATCAATCGATATTCACAAAATTAGCATATAAAAAGAATGTTTCAATAGATGGAATATTGTGTGTAAATGGTATTCCTGTGTCTTTCTCTTCTTCTTTTTTTTGTCCTGTTCAAATAGTCTTTGAGAGTTTATTTAAGCTCGACCTTCTGCTATTCGGTCTTCTTTCCATTTTTGGGGTCACGTATATTCTATTTCTCAAGTTAAGGATAGCTTCTTCTACATTCTTTTCTCTTTATTCTTATTTGATTGAAAAGTACAAAGAAAGGCTGATGACTAGCTGAACTTGCAAACAAAATTAAAGAAATGTTATCGAATTTCATTAAAATTGAACTGAATTGTATACATGAATAGTCTGTTATTATTCAATCAACTTTCCTTTCATCAACCATAATTAGATCAAAGCTTAAATGTATGCAAATGTTTAATAAATTAGTTAGAAGAGATTTGAGCTTTCAACTACAGTCGACAAGATCATAAAAGTTGAAATAAATGGATAAGTTTATGCAAATTTAATACACGTTTGTTAAAGAGTTGTTTCGTTTAACCAAGTTGAACTACTACAAGAGGAAGAGAAAGAGAGAGAGAGAGAGACAGAGAGAGAAGTGAGGAGGGAGGGTGAGAGGGCGTCGGATACGAAAAGAGGAACCGAAATGCATTGAACATTTGGATAGCAAATCTGGGAATTGGAGAGACAAATGAATAATAGAAAAGCTCAGAAAGGAAACAGCAAATTGTCAAAGAAATTGATAGGTTAGACGAAGCTTTCATGGACATTCTGTTTATAAAAAGGAATTTTTTGAAATATTCGTGTTGACACTCAGTAAAAGCAGCTGGATAAGCGAGAGTACAAGGTCACACAGATATATTAAGAGGGTTCATAAAGGAGAGAAAAATGTAAAAGAAAGTAAATAAAGTGTGAATAAATTTGTAATTGAGTGAAGTGGCAGGAAAGAGCATTGAATGAAACAACTTAAAACAACCTTTTTTATTCTCCTCAAAGTTGGAAAACAAAAAAATAAAAGGAGGAGAGAGAGAGGGGGGGGGGGTAGAAACTTTCACTTGTTGAATGGACATTGGCCTGTTCGACCAGTTGTCCGTTTGGCCTTAAGGTCCGCGTGTCTATCCTTTACTCATCTTCTGTTATCCGGTTTTAGTTTCAATTAGTGATAAATAAAGAGAGTGAGAGAATGACACAGAGGGAGAGAGAGATACAACGAGGGAAACTTATAAAGGGAAAATGGTTGTAAAACGAAAACAGACGTATCTTCAAAGAGGAAACTTTTCATATTTTTATGAGAGGAACCTCTTCAAAAATACTTCAGAATTTGAATAAAAATTATAAATTTTATGAAAGGAAAGAGAAGAAGAGTGAAAGGAAGGAACAACCGCTCACTTGTCGCGACAAAAAAATAAATGAAAAGGTCACTTTGCTGTTACTTTCCCGCCCTACTTTCACACACACATACACATACACGTGAGATTCACGTGTCTAAATTGTTTTTTTGATAAAAAACAAACAAATAAATAAATAAATTTGTTTTTTTCTTTTACAATAATGTTTGGCAAAAACATTTTTGTTTAAAAAAAGTTTTGTTTCTCTCATTTGTCGGAAATTTCTTGTACTTTTCAAGCTTAACATGTGTCGAAAAAAAAATGCTTTTGACACGGAAAAAAGAAATTTGCGATGGTTGGTTGGGTAAGAGAAAAGAAAAATAAAAAGTAAATTTGATCATTTTGTTAATGTTTAAACCAAATATGTGAAGAAGTTTATTCTCACACAAGGCAATTCTTTCAAATATTTGTGTGTGAATTCAACAACTATCATAACATGGAGACAGCAGTTTGTTTTAAAAATTTTCTTCGAAAAAAGGCACAAAAAAGGTTTGAGAAAAGCCAAAAAGTCTCTTTTGTCAATCAAAATATGTCTGAAATAGTCGTTGATGGGAAAAGACTAACAGAGACGAAGCCAAAATGAAGTTTGAAAGTTAATAAAAGAACGTCAAATGGTAATTAAAGGGAAATTAGTGAAAAAAAAATAGTTTGGTTCGCTTCGAAAACATAGAGGGAGGTCATGAGAAACAGCAGAGAGTTGGAACTGGAAAATTGACCTGGTCAAACTAAAAAATGAAGAAAATGGGCAACTAGGAGGGCTCAGCTGCAGAATATTAAAAGAGAAAAACGGAAAAAGCAATAGAAGCGTTAAAAGAGAAAAAAGACTGATGATGGTCATCTAATTAACGAATCTGAAGCTTTGTTTCCTTCTAATCTGATTCGTTTCTATACTGCTTTGCAGTCCAAATGACCAGATATGGAGCTATGAAATAACAAAATGAATAATATGTTATAAATGAGCTTTATATGAGAATTTTGAATAAAAAAAGCGATAGAATAATTGAAGCTTTCAATGCCGACGACAATGAGAAGAAGAAAGCCGATTGAAGACGTCGTCGTCGATCTGCCAGAAGACACGCAATATATCCAACTCTGGTTCTCTAGCATTTGAGCTTCTCAAACGCTTGCACTCTCTTTCTCTTTTATGTTCACATATATAGAGGGAAGGGAAGAGAGAGGGAGAGATCTATCAAACTCTCTTTGATCTTATCCTGCTTTCCTCCCTTCTCTTTCAGCTTCTTTCAAACTGAAGTCAAAAGAAACTGAGAATGGTCTTGTTGAAATATGTTTTTTATATTCCCAAAGCGGATAGTTTCGTCATAATCTAACAATCTCCTCCCATAACGAGAAAAGGAAGAAGAGATTTCTTTGTTAAAATTAGAATATGAAAGCACATTCGCGTGTATTTTCAATTTTCAAAACTCTTAAAAGGAAACGAAAAAAAAAGAAAAAGAAACATGAAAGCAAACATGTATTGATGAAGAAGATATGTCCTTTTATATTCAAAATTTATAAGAAATCTCTGTTGAAAATCAATTGAAAGGATATTTCGTAGTTTGAACGAGCAGAATGCTGGTGGATGGGAGAAAAAAAATTTTTTTTCATAAAAATTGCATCGTTTAAACTATTTTTGTCGAAGGAAAAGGCTTTGTGTTCCGTGTAAGTTTTGACGTCATCTTACGTGTATTCTTCCAGCCAGAAGCTACAAGTGAACGACAATTTGAGAAAAGGGAAATGCTGCCAGTGCACAAGCGAGAAGCTGATAAAATCATTTATTTTCTGGCAGAGGCAAGGCAGAATTAGTCAAAAGGCTATCGGTCGTCTGATGTGTCCACAAAATGTTTTTTTTCGCTTGTCTTCTTAGAGACTTAAGCCGACGTTGATATGAGTTAAAGTCAAAGGAATTTAGCCTGAGGGAGATGGTAAGGGAGAAAAGAGATGGGAGAGAAAGCAAAGGAAACAAACGAATCAGTTTCGACCCAAAAAAATATTCAACATAAGTCGTTGTATGTGAAATTACATTAATATATATTGTACTTAAGCATTGAGGACTCGAATCTGTCGAACAGATTGCAAATGACCGTAATTGGTAATGGGAGATAGGAGCGAAAAGCCTTTCATGATTACGAATAATAAAATCTTATTTGAGATTAAAAAGAACATGAGTACTTAGGCATTATTCTTTTGTTTATGAGCTTCTCTGAGCGCAAGACATAAAAATTGAAAAAAGCATTCAGCAAGAGTATATCGAAAAAGGAGAAGCACTAAAGAAATCAACTTAGAGGAAATAGTTCCAAATCCATAGAGGGTATGATAGAACTACGGAGGTCAGAATGTCAAGAGCTAATTTTGTTGGAAAAAATTTGGAATTCACAGCCGGATGAAGCTGCAGAAGCAGCGTGTATGATGATGACGGCTTTCGTTTTCATCTTCCACCCTCTTCCTTTTTTCCTTCATTCCGTTCCTGTCTCTCTCTCTCTCTCTATCTCATTTCTCTTTTTATTCTAACGTGAGTAGTAAGATGACAAGACGATCAACAAAAAAGTTAAAACTTCATCGACTTCTGAGGTCATTATAGACTCGTTTTACTATGAAAGGTAGAATTTTGAAATTCATCCAGTTTTGTCGTAATAACCTGAGGCTATTTACCATCCACTCATTTTTTTTGTTGGAAAATTCCATAAGTGAACACAACGATGAAACAGAAAGATGACAGTGACAAGCTCATATATGGAGAGAATTTGCATAAAACACGCCGGTTTCAAAAAAAAAATCGAAAGCAGACTTGAAGTACGTGGGAATAACGTGGGAAAATAGAGTCATTTTTAAAATGAAGTGTCGTAGAAAGCGGTTGAAAAATAGGAAAAGTGAAATGAAACTTTCAAAGAAAAAAATGCGAAAAATTGAATTTGTATGGCTGGACAAGCAGAAATGGGCAAATAGAAGAATCCTTGTATGTCATGAGAAGCTTTTTGTCTTTTTTCGGCTTCATCTTCCTAAGAAAATGATGAAGAATATACACGGAAGTCTGAGCTTTAATGTAATTCCTAATAACGAATTTATGAAAAATGAGACGACGCGATGAAGATAAACGAGAAGACGATGCGGTCATCTGAAGACGCTTCCTTAATTCTACTGCTCGACATGTCTGTGCTCCAATGAAGCTTTCGTCTCGCATATGCAAAATGACCAGAGGCCAATGCAAGATTTTGAACGCAAAAAGGAATAACATGAGCGGAAGGGTGAGAGTCGGACGCAGTTGATGAACTGAAGGATGATGAAGAGAAAGCTTAAAGATGTGTGAATATGGACTAGCTTCATACCATAAGGATAGAAATTAGAAAGAGTGAAGTACGAAGAGAATAGTAAGAGAGAGAGAGAGAAATAGAGAGAGAGAGAAAGCGAGGAAAGAACCCATGATGACCTATATAGTAATGATGAGAAAGAAAATGTAAACAAGGGCACAATATAGCCCCTAGGCAGCTAAGTAGCCAAATTAGGAAATATGGCGTCAGATGGGTCAAAAGCTTCCAAAGACAATAGAGACGTTGGATAAACTCAAAAACAATCAGACATTCTCTCTTATGTTTCATTTTAGCTAATTATAAGAATTTCACAGGAATAGAACTAGAAAAACCGGAATAGAAAATGCAAAAGTCAAGTAAGATGGGCGGAGAGGAATAGCGAGGAGGAAGGCAGGTGTGGTAATTCTTGTGAGGAAGAATAAAAAAGAAAAAAGAAAAATCGAAAGGAAACAAACTGTTTCCAAAAGAAATTTCAATTGAAGAAAGCCATGTTACTCTTTTCGCTCTCATCCTACAGAACACTCTCATCAGATTCTTTCATTTCGTCTCTTTTCAAGAAAAAAAGCTTCAAAAAAGGAAAAGGAAATATCGTCTCTTATAGGGTTGAAAGAAAATGAATTCTCCTGGGAATTTGGGTTTCAAAAAACAAGAAAATTAATGAAAATTAAATGAAAAAAATAGTAAAATTCTACCAACATCACTCTGTCATATCTGTTGATTTTCACACCAAGTTAAACTAAAAGGTCAAGATCATTCTGGAGTAGATCAAAATGCAAATAAAGAGAGACAGAGGGAGAGAGAGACAGAGAGAGAGAGAGAGAGAGGACATTGTCGAGGGTAAAAGGTCAGGGGGTTCTTTCATGAAAATAGAAATTTAATTATTTCAACTAATTTTGAGAAAAAAATTGGATTTGAAGGAACACATCGTCACATCTTCACGTCTTCATAGTCTGGTTCTTGGCAGTTTGTATCCAAATTTCTGATTTGACAAAAAGAAATTTGGGTCAGATTCTATTAGCAACAACAACAAGAACGGATAATCTGACGCTTCTGTGCATTTCTATGTTTCACCCAAAGGTTCACCGAAATATTTTTGCTACAATATAATTCCATGAAAAATGTTGAAGAAAGATGAGTGACATTCAAAAGACACTCAACTGTCTCTCTTCACTTTAAAAGAGAAAGTTTTGAAAGCTTAATTGGTTAAAGCTTTAAGCTGAGATGCTTGAACGAAAAAAAAGAAAGGTTTTTCAATTGAATTAAGGGGATGAAACATTTATTTGAGGAAATAAAAGATCATCCAAGGTTTGTAAAAGGAAAAGAAAATAGTATCATCTGGCTTGACTTTAAAAGGAACAAAAACTTTTGCAATGAATAGCGTAAGTAATGAAGACGAATTGATTCAAAAAAAAAAGAAGTGAGAGACAGAGAGGGAGAGAGAAAAAAAGAAAAAAAACTTTTGCTTTAATTATATGTATAGTTAACTATATCTTATTCAGCTTAACAGCTTTTCAAACGAGATTCTAGCTTATCATGATAAGCAAGATGATAAACAACATCAAAAAATCTTTTTTCCTTCATCATAAACGGCTATTGGCAACTTGTCAAGATGAATATGATTGATGACGTCACACATATGGTTAGTAGATTTTGGTGTGGGAATATATAGTTAAGGAGAAGTTCTTCACATCTGTTACGTTCATATTCAAGCAGATGATGCAACATTTTCTTTTTTTACAGAAAAAAGCAAAGTAAAAGCCAGATGGGAGCTAACTATACCATATAATTAAGTTTTTAACAATTTTAAACATTTTATACACATAAAGTGGTGGGTGATATAGCATTAGTCACCATTTCACAAGTTTATTTTGAAAAGAATGCATTACCCGCGATCCATTCTGACTCATATAGGCAATTAAACTTTTTTTCCACGTGTAATCGTGTTCAGCTAAACTCACGTGAACTCATTGGAAACATTTTCATTTTAAAACTTCTGACGTTCACAACCGGTTGCACATTATTCGGATTATCGAATAGTAGAAGTATTCTTTTGTTTCATTTATATATTCTCTTTATATAATACAAAAATAGTTAATTACATTCCATTATTCGATTCAGCAGGAGAAAAAGCTGGAGCTGATGCGCTTCTGCCCCATCGACCACCCCAGCCACCGCCACCCCATCCTCCTAAAAAGAACGTTATTATTCGTATAGTTTTGTATCTGAATTGTTGGAAGGGAAGTGATAGAGAGAAAAAGACGAAAGTACCAGAATTCCAATTATTTTGACCCCCCCATTGATCGAAACCACTCCATTGGCTTCTTCTGTCTTCATTACCATTTTCATTTCTTTCGCCGCCTATAGAACCGATTTTTGAACAAAAATAGGAAAAAATCAACCAAACACCCGTTAGTTCCAACCAAACATTTGAAAAAATCAAATGAACATAACTCGCAAGTATTAGAGAAAGCTAATCACTTATTTTGTCCTTTCTCAACTCACCGAACCAGTCATTGTTTCCCCAGCCGCCACCGCCGCCGCCTCCGCGGTTCCAACCTCCTTGATTTCCCCCATTACGAGGACCCCAACCACCAGCATTAAACTGGCGATTGTCCATGTTTTGTTCAGCAACAGGCTTAACAGATCCTTTAAATAAAATAATGAGAAAGAGATCAGAGTAAGACCGAAAAATACCAGCTCGTCCACGACACTTATCTCTCAATTCATATTGAGAGTAGCATGTACGACAAGAAGCTCGGCAATTCTCAGCCATCCATGGATTTTTTTGGCATTCACCCACACGTGCCCAGCCCGCACAATCCTTATGATAATCAGTGCACGCTTCAAAACGTTATTGAAGTTTTTAGAAAAACAACTGAACTCACATCCATAGTTATAATCTGTTGGGGTACAATGGCCACAGCTGACACGACAATTGCAAGCCATCCATGGACTTGAACTACGGCATTCACCCATCAGTCCCCAGTGTGGACAGCAAACATTTTCATTGTAACAGCCATCGGAGTTATCACAAGCTGCTATCGGTGATGCGGTAGTTGTTGCAGCTGAAAATAAAATTATGAGCATATTTACGATATTTTCTTGAAAATAAATTACTTTGTTGAGCATTGCTACCACATTCCTGACTACGGGTAAGTTTGCATTTATTACAACTTTTACGACAATTTTCACTCATCCACAGTTGATTCTTCGTACATTCTCCCGATCTGGACCATGTAGGACAGTTTACATGTCGATCAGTACAGTCTTAATCATACAGCGATAACGGAGATATTATGTTTGTTCAAGTACCATCTACTAGGCGGTACTGTGGTTTGCATTGAGCACAACTTGCTTTGCACCATTCGTTCATGTATCCAGTATTTCTGGAACATTCACCCTTTGATGCCCAGGTGGCACAACAATGATTTTCATTGAAGCATGTTTCCTAATGACATCATATTATAAATCAATAGAATATTGATTACCTGAGGCTGAATACGTACAGGTGGCTGTGTTGGACGTACTGTTGGTACAGTTGGTGTTGTATTTGCCTAGAATCGTTGATTTTTAATGATAACTTCTTATAACTCAGTGCTTACGGTAGCAACGCAAACACCTCCTTGACAAATTCCATTATAACACGGATTTTCGCCTCGTGTAAAACCAGGGCAAGGAGCTCCTTTTCGAATTTTGGCAGCACAGCGAGCATTACCATGGGATAGATCACAGAATAATGCACTAAGCAAAAAAAAATAAAAAATGTAAAAGTCTGAAAAGGTATTCTCACGGAGAACCACAATTGGCATTAGCAGCGGAGCAGGTTGGCCGTGGAGCGTAAGAGTACAAGTTATCTGTGAACTTATTGGATAGACCATCAACATTCCTCATGGGAGTAAAAGGTAATAATCCACCAGCGCCGAAATGGTTATTCGAAGAACAGAGTTGATTATCAGGTGGGTATAAGAGTTCTCTGTCTGCTCTCGACTTCAAACAACAAAGCTACGATGCTTAGAAAACTAACTCACTTACCTGCTTTGCTAATCTCCATTGTTCCCAAATCAAATCAACGAAGCTGTGATGCATGAAGAAGATAGGATCATTGGCAGAAGTAGAAGTATCAAACATATCTCCACCAACAAAAATATGAACATTACCATGAGTATATTCAAGACAATTAAAATCTGTCCGGTATGGGCAACCCTAATAGCGTGAAGTTCCAATCATCTCATTGTAATTCCTTCTTTACCTGTCTTGGTGAAGTGAATGCTAAAACTTGATCAACTTCTGTTTGTCTCATAACGAAGTCAATATCAGCCTGTGAAAATGGCGAACCCTGAGCTCCAACTTTTCTTTGAATGTTAGCTCTGCCCTTAACTTTCTTCTTCAAAAACCCAAACAAGGTTATCATACCTCGAGCGTTCTCCAATTCGTGAATGGACCATTTATGACGAGGCCGTTAGCGTCACTTCCTCCACAAAAATCTTCACTGAAGAAAAAAACGAAAACAAGTTCAGTATGACATAATCAGTGATAAACCTGAAGATAGCTGAATTGGCGGGAGTTGGTAAATGATGTTCTAATGTTGAATCCCAATAAGGAAGAAAGATTGATGGGTCAACTTGCCGAAGGGCAAATTCAACTCTGTGAAGAAGATTCCGTTCAGTATGTCTTGTTTTTATAAGGAAATAACCGTTTGATGAATTCACGATGCCATGGAAGGAAAGCAGGACCAGAATGGGCTCCTCCACTGTTACTCATTTGCGAATGAATTCGCCCAATACGTTCATATTCACCATTCTATTTCAATTGGCTTCTTTGAGAACTTTGTTTCGAAAAAAACCTCTTTAAGTGTACGAAAAGCGTTATGAAAACGTTGTCTCTCGTCATCGGTCATCATGCGATACTCTTTCCTTCAAGTAGATTATACTGAAGCACTTGTAGATGTTACCGAGTTACCTAACGGCTTTTTGTAGAGGCTTGCCATCAGGTAAAGTACATCCACCATTGGCTGTGGCTGTTCCTACACAAAATTAATCATTAATTGAACTATATTGTGTAGATAAACCTCTCAAATATGTGCACATGCAAGCTAAATCCATACACTGATAGATGGATGAAGCTATCGGAGCGAAATCAGCGGCTATTCCTTTACCTATTCCTTCTGCCATTCCAGGTGGCAGAGCGATTTTCTTTTTTGATGCAGCTTTCTAGTATCGAAAAACCTTGATCATAGTTGATATAGTTATCATACCCTAGCTCCATCATCCCATTTATGAATCTGCCGACACATGATTTTAGCAGCTTCATTTGGAGCTTCAGCACATGGATCTTGAGCTTTCACATCAATAAATAGTAAGAGAATAATGAAATACTTCATTTTTATTCTGAAATAATCAAATATAATATGAAAGAGAACGTTTTCAAATGGAAGAAAATGAAAGATTGTTTGGCAATAACTTGGTGTTTTAACACAATCATTGTAATGGAAATGAACCTGTCTTTACCTTTTTTTTTCCTTTTTTTCTCTCATTTCTCCTTATTAAATCTGTGTTTCAATTTCATTTTGTCAAACATGTTCGTCTTCCAAGGAAATTTGAAAAAAAAATTTTTTTTCTTATTTTTTCTATAAAAATTTTTTTTTTATTCTTCTTCAAAATGATTCGTTTAAGGACATGTGTCATTGTTTAAGATACTTTGATGTGTTATCGATTGACTGCTCAAGTCTTATTCATTACATTTCCACATCCATTTCACGTGGAAAACTTCACAAGAAAAATAGATGACGTCATTTCGAGATACTTTTTCGATTGTTGATCGGTTGCTCATATGGCTGTGAAATGACTATTTAAATATTCTGTTTTATATATATATTATCATTATTATTATAATTTCACTTTATTTTATAATCATTGAGTGAGTGATCTTCTCCTTTTTGCTACTTTTTCATATTCATATTACATATATAGTATGTTATTTGAAATCTACATTGAACATACAGAGAAAGTCATTGTCCACTCTCTCTCTCTCTCTCTCTCTTCCCTCCTATCTGTTTTTCATTCATTTTCTCTGTGTACTCTCTTGAATAAACATTATATATCATTTAATTTAATACTTTGTCAAGGTAATATTCAAAATGAGAGGCAAATACAGAGAGAAAGATTGAAGATGATCGATAGAGACGCAGACGACAGTGCCCACCTCTTTTTGAATCAGGGCGAATACACAACACTCCCTCTCATTCCTTCAGGGCTCAGTTATTTCAAGGACATTTACTCTCTGTATACATATATGTAGATATATATACACACATATGTCTTCTATCTACCTGTATATGTCTTGTACTTCATCTTTTTAATTATAATTAGCTCACATCATATACAGTTGTTTCAGAGAATGTCTGACAAAGGCGATGATGGCCAAGTTTTCGTTGTTGATAATCGTACACGAGATGATATGGTTCGCAATGTTCTTCTAATTATTCTCATTTTTGTGTGTCCAGTGAGTTGCTAAGTATATGATATGGTAATTAAAATATATATTTGAAGCCAGCAGCTATTGCTGTTGCATCCAATGAGTGCAATCTACATGTGTGTGTCTCATTCTTCCTTATGTGTTTCTTCCTCATTCCTGCTTACATTCATGGAATCTGGTACTGTTACTTCAGAAAAACTCCCGAGTTGGTCATCGCTTAAGGTAATACACATGCTTGATATGCGATTGAGAAGTCATTGATCAGCTTTTTCCAGATCTTCAATTCGAAACTCACACATCACAGCTTATAATCAACTATTGATCTTTCTACTATTATATTTATTATTATTGTTTATTTATTCATCGTTCTAATAAATATTTCTTAATATAATTTCATTTTCATTGATTTGAAGCTTAATAAAAGCCGAAGACCGTTGCCATGGTAACAGCCTTTACGAAAGGTTTTCAGCCTTGACGCGACGGTTTTATTGAATTCTTCATCTTCCCTTCATTAAAGCCTTAAAATATCTTTTTTTTTCTTATAAAGATCTTAATTAGTTGATCATGAGGCGACAGGATGATGGAGAGCATGTCAAATGGATGACCGGAGTCCAAGACGGCAATGCAGGTGAAACTTTCTGCATTGTATTAGCACACAACCATTTAAGGAATTTGGACGTTGCCACCATGCATTGCTTTGGGTGACTTATATGGCGACGGAGACACCAAACTCATTGTTGCTCATTTGGGTCCAAGGTCTTTCGAAACTCACTGATAGTTGCAAACAAATACCATTCAGCATAACATCTCGTGTTAGTATGAAACTTAAAGTGTTCAAAGGAATAACTCTCGTGGCGGAGAGTGTTCTTGCAGATTTTCCAACTGCTATTGCATCGTTCATAAATGACCAGGCACATCAACAATTCATGCTTATCGCTTAACCACAATCCTATTTCAGACGTCGTTACCGGCTGTAGCCGTAGCTTCTGGCTCTTCACTGTTGATTTATAAAAGTTTACGTCCGTTTTATAAGGTATAAGGTTTTCTTGTTTTCTTTATATAATTTGAATTGTGAAGTTCACAGTTCCATCTTCTCCAATTCATCAAGTAGAAGCAGAGGCTTGGCATAAAGCTGGACAACAAGAGCTTAGTTATGACGACTTGTTCGTTGTTATCACGAATTTGGTTGGCGAAGTTCGTTTTTAAGATGAAAGGGAGAGAGAGAAACACTTTTGGTTCAGATTTCTCCAAAACGTTTGACTTCCGTGTCTCAGACCTTGTTGATAACTCCCGAAGAGTACCGTACAGAATTCATTGATAAGTACTCGCAGAAAGAACTATCAAACCCCGTGAGCTACCTATCACAAACACACATATAGTTAACACTACATTTCAGTCGCCAATAACATGCTTGTCCACTCTCAAGAAATCAACAGCTGATAACTTGGATATGCTTGTATGTGGAACGGAGTACGGGTCAATACACATAATCGATTCACAAGCTTTCTCCACAGTTTCAACAATCAATCTGCCTTCAGTGCCGGTCAGCATCGTTCCATACGGTTAACCATTTCCTATAATTAGCCATATACCATCTATATTCTAGGTGTTTATGATGTTGATTATAGAATATTTGTGTCAACGCGTAGTTCACAGATATTTTCTCTCAAAAGAGATATGGAAAACGTCAAACCAATCATTACTTGTCGATCAAGTATTATTGGATTTGCACGACTAAATAAGACGGTTCGAAACATAAAAAATGCTATTTGAATATTATAATTTACATATAGTTAGCTGTTGTTTGTTCGAATAATACTCTAACGTACTACTCGTTCAAAGGAAAATTCTTAAATTCCATCAAAATCAAAGAAGGAGAAGTACAGTCAATAGAACCCTTTCATTATGCTCCTAAACAGTATTCAGGAGTCTTGATTATGCTTTCAAATGAGGTATTCCCATTCCCAACATCTTTTCTCTCATCTTCATATTACAGATACGATTATACAACGATCAATACTTATTAGATGTAATTAAGTCTGATAAGTCTCTTCAATGGATAAAGTTTGGACAATTTGGTAGAGAGGAAGCAACTCTTATAATGGGAACACAAGGTTCTTCTTCGTTCTTCTACCAACTCTTACTATAACTGTTTTAGATGGAGGAATTCTTGTTAAACTATTCCGAAGAGTGGCTACATTCAAAGAACAGCAGGATGTTAATCCTCATCCAATGTCTCACAATATCAAATTGAATATACCAAAGAAGACGAAAGTCTTTATCGATCAGACCTTACGAGAGAGAGAGCATGCAGGACAGATTATCCAGGTAATTATTCTGTTTACCCTTGTAACGACCCTGGGTATTGTTGTGTGTGTTCTGATGCGAGGGATCAGGCGTTTCAGTTACGAAATGATGCCAAGAGACTAACAGCTGAGCTTTCAGACATTCTCAAAGGATTTATTCCTTCTTCGATATCATACAACCAAAGCTTATGCTGACATAAGTACAAGTAATAAGATGGCTGTATCTACAACAGCTTCAGAACCAATTGAAATATCGGTTGATATCAATGGATTTGGTCCGACATTTCGAATGACGATTAATCTGACAAGCTCATCGTATGATTTGAATATGATTAAAGATATATATCTTCATATATATATATTTATAGTAAATCACCAATGTACAATATGTGGATATCAATAATTGGAAATGAGAAACTTTATAAAATAGAAAATCGTCTTATACCCGTCTCTATCTTAACATCTGGCAATTTTTATACATATACAACACTAATTCATTGTATATCACCTGAAAAGGTATATATAGATTTCATATTATTAACTATATGATATAATATAACTGTTATAGGGTATATCAGATGATATAAGAGTACTACTTGTAAGAGAAGGCCGCACACAACCAATTGTCTCAGCTCAAGTCATAATGCCAATAAGTGAAATGAATCTTTTCGATTAATTAAATCTTTCTCCTTGAACATTTCCCAATCAAAAACCTGTTTCTCTTTCTACTTCAGTACAACAAATATTTTCCCATAAATGTCTTCAGTACATCTGAAGGTAATCCTTTGTTATCTGAATGATGCCGTTGAGAAGGTTTTTCTCATTTGCGTTTTCAATTACCACAAGGTGTTGGAGAAGACGAAAGATTCATCCTTTTGAGGTAATCCCGGCTGTCCTTGTACAGATTTCGATGTTGAAAATGATAAGTTTTGAGAACGTTTTGTCAGATAGCCATTAAGCTGTTGGAAGACATCAACAATCACGAAAGCTTCATCAGGTAAAGTTCTCTGGAAAAAAAAAGAAAGATGTTTTGAGAACGCAGAAACGTTTCGAACCTTGTAGTTCGTCGTCTCAAATTGGATATTTTCGTCAACAAAATGAATTTGATTGAAAATGGAAGTAGAAATTGTCAAAAAAGCAACAAAAGTCGCAACTGAAATAACAGAAACTGAGATCATTATTGCCAATTTGATAATTATCTTTCCTTATAAGGAGAGACGATTGTCCTTGAAATGACTAAAAAAAATGAACAAAACGAAACTTTTTATTCTGCCATATAACCTTGGCAGTAAAAAAGTGAGAGAGAAAAATAAAAATTCCAGGAAGAGAGAGAGAGAGAGAGAGAAAGACAGAGATGAGAAAAAAATTTTTTTTTGTCACCTTGATCATCTGCAGCAGGAAACAATGGTTATTCCAAATTTGAATAATTAGAGTCAGAATTATTCTGTTTTGAGCATATAAGACGATAAATAAAGTCAAATGTTTGATCCTTACATTCATCCCAAATTGCTCTCTCATGAAATTGTATTAAACGGCTGAGATAGAAGCTCGTTATCTCCTCACAGCTGAGGCTCACCCACGACTTCCTTCCTTCAACTGTTCTTAAAATAAATAAAAAAAGGTTTTTTTTGGTTTAAACAGTTGAGCACTCATGTCGTCTGTTGGATACTTCATTCTCCTATCTATAGGTAACAATACTAAATCCTATGAATAGAATTCCTTAACTTCAGCTTTATGTGTATGGATAAGCCACTGTCATCTGCATATTCCATTCGATTCCAATTGCACCTCATTTTCCTATGACGATTGTCCACTTGGTTTCTCATATGATCAAGTAATTTCTTATAATTTTTCATATTTTTAGACGTGGGATGTGAGAAAGTTCTTCGCTTGCATGGACGTCGTGAAATATTCCGTCGTTGTCAATTTCTCTCCAAAGCTTCACCCTCAACAACACGTTTCAATCGTCCGCACTGGCGTGCACGTTATTGGTTGTCAGATCCCAGGCGATACAACTAATTGGAAAGAAAAAGAGCATTTTTTTTATTAAAAATGAAACTGATAATAAAAGTTTTTCTGTGAACTATTCAGAAGAATGAAATCAAGAATCGTATATAACGAAAGAAGTCATGTTCTGAGCGTAGTTTCATGAGAATATTGTCTTTGATTTGTCATCATAGAAGTTATTCGAGTTGGTTTAGATGAGAAACCGAATAGCTCATAAGCGATTTTTCGATATTTTCCTGATCTCCAGATGCATATGTAGAAGTTTTGTCCGTAACAAATCATTCCAAACAAAACCTGAAGAAGGTGTTCGCGTTAAAAACTTTCTCAGATTTACATACCAAGCTAGATTGTAAGCATTTCTTCACATCTAAGGCAATATCTGAGCGATTGAGGATATTAGCTCCAATTGATGCTACAAACCATGTGGAAGCATATAGCGCTGCCGTCACACCTACTCGTTTCATGACCGGCTTCATAGAAATACAGTTTTTACCTTTAAAATTATAAATAATTTCAGTTTATTGAAATCCATCAAACTTACATTTCCGAGCGAAGTAGAGAGCTGTTATCAAGTAAGAAACAACAACGGATATGTTTACAACAGCGTTACTGTTAAACCGGAATGTGGCTAAGTAAGGTGATGCTATGACTGAAAGGATTGATGATGATAGTAGTCGGAAGAAGAGCTAGCAAACCAATCATAGTATTGCATCTCGGCAGCCGGTCAGCTTTTAATGTAAGGATAGTGGGTACTTGAAAGCTGACAGCATATAGAACCGCTGGTATAGTGAGGCAGATCAAGTAAGAGGTCGTCTTCGATGCCTTATACCTTCAAATATATAAATGACATGAGTAACCTAAACTATTCTGAATACCACAAAGGTACGGAAATGGCTAAAAATAGGTCGAAAATCATTATAAGCGCCATAACACATTGAAATTGAATTGCATTCAAATACAAAAACATTAATTGGAAACAAAGGATGCGATCAATGAAGAGATCAAACAGTATTGTGTAAGCATGAACAAGCTCAGACGATAAGCATATTATGTGAGCAAAAGCTGTTATTACCAGTAGTAAGCCTGTTGGAGGATAGAAACAACGATGAAAGAATGAAGAACGAATGCTATACCTGACTTATTGCGAAGCTCCGTGTTTCTCAACGTACATATAATGAGTGATATGTTTCCAAGTAAGCCAATAAAGAATAATAATATCATGAAGAAGACAATTAACAGTTCAAATACTCGCACAATCGTTACCATCTGCAATTGGATGAGTAGAATGATTCGAAATTGAAAAAAAAATCTTTTTTTTTTCTCCATGTGGAAATGGAAAACAGAATTACATCTGGGTTGACGAAGGAGAGAAATAGAAATTCCCTCATTCGTTATTTCCTTTTCACGAGATGAATATTTTCAAAAAAAAATTTTGTTCATCAGCAGTTTATAATATACATGTACATGTATGGTTAAATGAAAATGAAATGACTGATTCTCTGTGAAGAGATCGATGAAGAAATTCTTTTATTCTCCTTTTCTCCTTTTTTTCTTTTATAATATTAATAATTATATATTGCGATAGATTTTCCTGAGAAAATGTTTTAACTATTCCCATAGTTAAGTAACTCTTTGATTGTTGTTATCAGCTCTTCAGGGTTCCAAAAACGAAGATGATAAGGAGTATTGATGTGACGCGGTCACGCCAATGGAGCAAGCACCCTTGTTGGTAGTTTTTTATTCATTTTTTTAATTATACAAATGATTTTTTCACAGGAAAACACAGAGGACTTGCCTGCTCATGTTACTGTGCACTTTGATAAGCTCCGAAGGAAAGTTTACATCGATCATGTGAATCAAGTGACGAGTTGGGAGAATCCAAATCAGCCACCATTACCACCCGGATGGACAGTTACTCATGATGCATCAGGAGAAGTACGTTCAAATCATCTATGTCTAACAATGATTATATATAACTTAGATTATGTATATTGAACTTCAAACCTTATTTATGACCTACAATCGACCAAGTCTGCAAACTACTTGAATTCAAAGTACTTGCTGAATGTTTTGAGCATGCGCCTTACAGTGAGTTCAATGGGTACGCAAAACAATAACTTCACATCTCTCTAATTCCATTCCGTTCAGGAAAATCCGTCAAAAAGCTTGTATTATTAACATATTCTTCAATAATTTTAAATAAAAGTATCATTTACTACATTTGTATGTCAAATGTGTCAAATAAAATGTAATGAATAACTGAAAAGACTTTATTGAACTTCAATATTTTCCTTCCCCTTTTTCAACTTTAAAAGAAACATTATATTCTATGCAAATTAAGATGTAAAGATCGTTCTAAGCTATCAAAGTTCTTACTCAAATCCTTTCTATTCATGTTCATTTTTGCTCTTTCAAACATACTTTTCTCTCTTTCTCTCTCAGTCGCTCTCTCTCACTCTCTCTCTCTGTTTCTCATTCTCTCATCTAGCAACTATCTTACAAATGTAAATGTCTTTGATATCTCTTTACTTTCAATCATATTTTCTTCTTACAATTCAGTGGTTCCGTCGTCCAAGATTCAGATGTCCAATTACCTGCCAAATGATGGATCATTTTTATCCTGAAATATGCTTTCAGCAAAGGAAAAGCCCTTACGGCAATAATCTCTTTGAACTTCAATTGTTTCATTTCATTCAAACAATCTTTTTTTCTCTTTTCCTTTCACATTTTCTGTTTTTTTTCTCCTTTTTTAGTTCTCTTTGAAGATTTCATTCCCTCCGTCCCTGAATTCGTCCCTCTCCTTGGCTTCTACAAATCATAAATATTCTCGTAAAGAAAGATTATAAAAGCTACTTTAAGCTTAAGCTTATTTATTTATTTTACTTTGAAGCTTAACCCCGAAACGTAGTAAAATCTGTTTTTTTCTTTTTTTCTTCCCAAATAATATCAATCTTACCGAATAGTTTTTTGTTTTGTATTCATAGAGGTATAACTTCTTTTTTCAAGCTTAACTTCTCTTTCTCTCCCTCCCCCCTCTCTCTCTCTCTCTCTCTCTCTCTCTCTCTCTCTCTCTCTCTATTTTCATGACACCCTCTCCAAGAGAAGAAAAAAGTAACAAAAGTTTGTTGAAAAAAAAAACGGAAAAACAGCTTTGAAAGACCAATTTTCTTTTAATTTAAAAAAAAATTGGAATGAGCATGTACGGTTTCGATGTATAGTTAGCATGTTATATCTAGATATGTTTCATTATTCTGTATATACATAGTCATATAATATATAATGTTTTAGTAATTACTTTCTATGACCTACATATAATTAGTTAGAGATGAGCTAATTAGACATTTTAAGTGCTTACAGCAGAATTTACTTTGAGCTTCATCTTCATCTCTCCTCACTTTACACTTTAATAATTCAATTTGCAGAAAAGAAAAAATAAGTTTTTTTTTGTTATTTTACTTCTACGCGACAGAACGATATGGTGTCTTGTAGTGTTTTAATTAACCGAATACGGAAGAGTCTTGTATTGGATTGGGTCGATTTCGCTTCTCATACGAGGTAATTCAGCACTAGTGCAATTGCACTTTCTCAATCAATCAGTCATCCTTAAACTATATAATCTGTTATGTTCTTGTTCATTCCCATTCTTAACAAGAAATCAAGTTAAGACACTTTCTATCCTCTTTGACGCGAAATGTGATCTTTCGCTAACAACTCGATGTCATATTGAATTCAAGCAAAGCGGTTACGTTTTGCTCTTTTTCATTTCTTATTCACGTGCACTTTGAGCGGTTGTAGACAGCTAGTTTTCATGCTTCACTCTTAGCTTGATACAAACGATCGTGATTGCTCAAATTTCATGGTTCATTCACGTGCGACGTGAGCGGTTGAGAACAGACATGAACGGTTCTCATATCACATTAAAGCAAAGCGATAGTCCACAAATTAATCACAATTAATAAGATTCGTAGTATTCTATTGTTTTCAGTTCACATGGAATTCCTCGAGCTTATGAATCTGAAGGCATACGGAGGAAGCTGTGGCTGCTCTTATTCTTTTCATGTTTAACCTGTTTCTGCTTTCAAGCATATTGGATAATAGAGAAATTTAATAAGTAATGATAACAAAACTGAAAAGCTGAATATATTCTTCTTCTTTGCAGAAATGATATTATTGTTGGAGTTGAAATCAAATTTGAACAAATAAAGTTTCCAGCTGTTACAGTATGTAACATAAATCCCTATAAAAACTCATTAGCTCGGCAGTCAAGTGCTATCAAATCAGCTGTGCGTCTGATAACTACAGATCATTATGTATTTTTTCTTTATTCCAGCTTGAATCCTTTGAGTTGGCTATCGATAGGAGTAGCCATCGCGTGCCTGATGAAGATATTTCAGTCAGAACACGGCGGTTCACAACGTTCTTCTTTCAATTCTAAACCTTTCATATTTCAGATGGACGAATGAGAATTTAGTCATTGAGCCCAGCTATGTTTATTGTACATCTGATGAAAATGGTTATTACAGTCCATCTAGTGATGATCAATCAATGAAATGCGTAATTGATCTATACATAACTATATGATATAATAACACTTAAAGATATGCCTTCATTACACTAACGAAAACCTCTATTGGAATTGTGAACCATCAAATGACTTCTCACTTAAAAAATGCTCAAACTGTCGATTTGGATTATGTGAAAAATCGAACATTGGAAGTGCTCCTTGTCTCTGTGCTCAAAACTTTTGTGTTCAAACAATTGATTTTCAGAAGGTTCTAAGAATTAGTGATGTTTACATGTTGAACTTCCTTATAGGTATATGCAAGATGGCCTTTAACCATAAAGGAACAAAAATGTCCATCCCTTTTTTCAAATTCTACATCTAACGAGTTCTGCTACTGTGTAGTACCAGAAAACTCAAACACCAACTCATATTGTGCTCGTAGAGATGACTGGGCTATTGCTGGATGTCATACATGTGACTGGTGGGGAAGGTAACAGAACAATATGTTTAGTATTCATCATATACTGTTCATTTGTAGATGTCAACGCTCATATTCTTTACATCCACAAGATCATTGCATATGTGACGATGAACTGAACTGTTTCGCTATACAAATGACGTCATCCAATTATAGACCCCGACGAGAACTTGCGGAAGAAGAAAAAACAAAATCGGTTTTTCCAGGCATGAGCTCTGAGCTATTTTCACTTTACAGATTGTGGTCAGACAATCGAACAAACAACGAATATATGAACGAATTTTAAGCCATTACGAAGGATTATTGGCCGTTTACAGTCGTTGCTCGTGTACGAAAAGTTCAGGATGTAATGCTTTGAAAGAAAAAGTTTCCTTTTCTCTCTCTAAGCTGTCTCAACATGTTCCTGTGCGTTTCAGGATAGAGCAAGCAATTCATCAACTTGCCTCTGTTTCTATAATAAGAAAAACGATCAAATATGGCCATGCTATCCAGAAGTTGAATGGAAAGAACGTAAATGCACAAAGTTTGTCAATAAGTGCAGTCATGCCGTCATTTGTCTGATACAGATGTAGCACGTTCGGTGACTGTTCCTTCGCCGATAATCAGAATACCGCCAAAGTTGATTGTTTTTGTGCTATGCCCATACGGATGTGTGTCCGAATCGAATCACCAGAAGGGAATACGACAGATTTAAGTAATTAAAATAGATTTCTTGATAGTCAGGCGCATTTACATAGCTACGTTTTGACAGGCGATCGTATAGTTAACTTCTGGGACATTCAACCTTCAACAACCGTGTCTCCTGTTCAAAAGAAGAAGCAGGATCGGGAGAAAGCGTATGGATATGCTGTAGGGTTGATTCTTTTTTTGAAGCTTAGAACCTTATTGAAGGGAGTAACCGATCCTATTGCTCTGAAAACCAAAGCTATGGAGAACATTATTTTTGCCGTGGATCAGTTACAAGAATCAGAGAAATGGGCAATCAGTTACAATAAATCGGATTTCATAGTTAAATGCTCTTTCAACGGTAAAGAGTGTCATGTAGATACGTTAGTTGCCATTAATTTACATAACACCCACACACTCTTAAGTGATTTCCATGCTTACCTGGATCCGACGTATGGCGCATGCTTCACTTATACTGCGAGCAAGTTTGATAACAACACCAATGAAAGAGCCGGTCCTGCATATGGTTTTCTAAAATCAACTTTTCCGTCATAACCATTTCATCTTCAAGGGTTGCGTTTAGAAGTCTTTCTGAATGTAACAGAGTATCTACCAACGACAGAAGCGGCTGGTGTTAGGCTCACTGTCCACTCCCATGAAGAACAGCCCTTTCCGGATACATTAGGTTATTCAGCTCCCACTGGTTTTGTTAGCAGCTTTGGAATACGATTAGTTTGTTGAAGTTCTTGATTACATCACAACCGTGATCTCATTGTAGAAGTCAATGACTAGGAAATCAGCTCCTTATGGCGATTGCATCGAGGAAGGAAAGGACGAAGATTTCATTTATCTGGACAAACAATATAGTACAGAGGTAAGAGATACAAAGAATTATCTGAATAGTGTTCATTATAGGGATGTCAACGTAGTTGTATACAGAGACATTTAGCCTTATCTTGTGGCTGTGGAGATCCTCGCTTTCCTCAATATAGGGTTACGAAGAACTGTCCTGTTGATGACCCAGTTAAACGTAATTATTTTTCTCTTTTATGAATCTTCTTCTTAGTCAACAGCTTCTAAAGACTATGATAAGCATTACATCCCCTGGCCTATTGTATTTTTTATCTTTCCAGGTAACTGTATTAAGGAGCAAATCAGTTACGCGATGAGGAATTCCAAAGAAATTGGATGTCGTTGTCGCCAACCATGCAGGTAACAGAATTCGTACCTGAGCAGTTTCATGGAAAAAAATTTTAGACAAGATGTTTATAGTGTATCTTATTCAGCTTCTAGATGGCCAGCTGTGCCTGGTGATCAGACAGGTTGTCCCCAGGGTATGGCTCCTCAGCATTGCTTAATGTATAAAAGGTATAAAAGGAGTCAATCCTATGACTTCCCCATTTAACATCCAGGGAACAAGGTGCAATGATTGAAGTTTTTTTCGAACAATTAAATTATGAATCTCTCATGGAAAGTGAGGCCTACGGCGTAAGTAACAATCTAGATAAGCCTTACAAACTTCTATATCTTAGTGGTCAAACTTATTGTCTGATTTCGGTGGTCAGCTAGGATTATGGATGGGTGTTAGTGTCATCACGATAATGGAAGTAATATATATAATTCATAGAGATTATTCATTTAATTACTTATGATATTACAGTTAGCGATTCTAATCTGCGACGCGGTTTTCACTGTTCTTCGATGTGGAAGACGTCGTGAACGTAAATTTTCAGGAAAAAGATCCATTTCTTCTCTACGATACAGCATTTCCAAGCCTTCTTTTTAAGGAACTATATATAAATTGTTTTATAATCTGTAGTTAAACTAAGCAGTTATTGATTGCTCAGTCGATCTCATTACAAGTTGTTTTTTCATTATATGCAACCGTTCAATACACGACGAAGGATAAAAGTAAATTGAAATAACTTTAAATACGAATACGTCAAAAGTACGTCAGCCACTGTGAAAAGCTTTAAAGACATTATAGAGCATAAACATTGAGCATAAGAGACGATCAAAGGAACACTTTGCTCATGGCGATAACACCTTACCACCACTTATGTGCTAATCCAAAACAACCTGTCCATCATAATCAGTGGCTCTTCAATTATTCCGACTTAATTATGAACTCGTGTTTGAACTTCCCTAATATATGCCGCCATTTCTTTTTTTGTTTTCCGACTACGGCGGTTATGAATAGAGGTCATTGATAAGCTCCGCCCCTTATAACTCTCTAATTGTGTAGTTTTGTTAGATACATTTGTAATCAGTCAGTAAAGACTGATTTGATCATAGTTGTCTTACTTTCAAAAATTTCTTTATTTTTTGAGAATAAAAGAGATTCGAGAATAACTGAAGAAGCTTTCTTTTTCTTTTAAGTCTTCATATTCCATAATGATTTTCAAATCATTTCTATGTGTTCTACTTTACATTCCATTAGCACATATGGTAAGTCAGATCTATCCTTTAACAATTTATATTTTACTTTTTATAGATTTCTGCTAATTTTTTTGTGGAATTACGATTGGTTTCAACACATTCCTCAATGATCATCAATTATCCACAACATACAGTTCAGAAAGTAGGAAATACAACCTTTGTTATCGGACCTTTTCGTGAAAATGTTAGTTTCATCTATTTACATTGCATTACATTAATGTTTTAAAGGATCCAATCACTATTTCACTATCATTACCCGTAATTCCATTTCGATATGTAAGTCGAAGTTTGACAACCGAAAGAACATGGAATTCCGAGCATTTCGAGCCATTAAGTACTTTTGTACATTATCGATCAATTTGCGGACCGTAAGTTTTTTCTTTTTGATATAAAAAACATGATTGAATCAATTTCAGATCGCTATATGGGCCTAGATGTATCAAATACTGTCGCAAACGTGATGATAGCACTGGTCATTTCACTTGCTCTGAGAGTGGGTTAAAAATCTGTCTTCCTGGCTGGCAAGGAGCCAATTGTGATTTGAGTGAGTGCAACATTTCAACTATTCAAGATGTTAACAGAGAATTTAAGTTTTCACGACACCTAAACCAACCGAGACTATTGGAACAACTATGAAAACTTCCTCAGTTCAAACGACAATAACGACAACAACAACGATGGAACCGGCGACATCAGCTCCTACAGAGAACGAGAAAACGATGTCCACCATGGAAAAGATCTCTTTAAAACCAACGAGCTTTCCTTTTGACGTCTCTTCGGACTATTTCATTGTTGAACATCGTTTCCCCGGTCTCATTTTACTCATATGTCTGGGATTTCTCCTAGGAGTTTTACTATTCCTTATCTTCTTGATTCTTTGTGTTCACAGGTTTGACAGTTTCTTTTAACATTCGAAATCACCCACTTCTATTATTATAGAGATGTACTCCATCCATTCCAACGTTTTGAGAATTGGCTAAGTTGTCGACGTAATCAGCGAGAACAGTATGCATATCAACGATCTCAAAACCAATGTGTTCACAAGGTAAGCAGTTGTATAAGATCACAGTTTACTATTCTCTCTTTTTAGGTTTATTCATTGCCAATCGACTTGACACCTACAGCGCACGGTGGTGTTTCCAAAAGCCATTTGATGACAGGAGATACATCAATGGAACGCTACTCATCTCATCGTATGAGTACAACATCTTGTCCTCCAGTGGGTCCATCGTCTATAATCCCAAGTAAGGCTAAAGCATTCCCTCCCTCACCACCCGCATTACCATCAACTAATAACTCATCTAACTGCTACTTTGCTTATGAAGCAATTGATATGCTACCGATACCCAATTCACGTAAACCATATGTTTATATGTCTCAGGAAGATTTAAAAGTTTGAAGCATGGAGAGCTGAAGCTAAAACTTGAAACTAATGAGTATGCATAGGCTGAAAGCTTGTTCATATTACTGATAAGATTATTGACACTTCATAACTTATATGATATAACTAAGAGCTTATAATTGTCTTGTTACCGGTTTTTGTCGTTTATAATGTAATAATAGTAATAATGAATGTATATATTTTATGTATTTAAGAAGAACATTTGATATTTTTTTGATAGAAAGAAAGACAAAAGATTTAAAATTTGATTTGTTAGATTATGATGTATTTGAATTTGTTTGACAATAAATTATACATTTAAACATTTATCTTTGTTTATAATGAGAGAATTAAAGCTAAATCAATGATAAAACAGTAGTTCTAGATCATATTTTTAGTTGTGACAAGAGAGGACTAGACAAAGCTATTACCTTAGCTATGAGGTTGTAGTTAACTATATTATTCGTTGTCGATAATAATCATTATTATTACAGACGCCACCTTTTTCACAAATTGTGTCTATTGATACTCCTGTCTGGAGAGCTTTTAATAAATCACTTGCATTCACCTATAATGAAAGAGAATGAGAGAGTAGGTACAACCATTCAGTGCGCGTGCCTAGCACTCATATGATTGTTCACGTGGAAATTAGTCTCACGTGGATACTTTCTAATTTTTTTGCGCAGTGACGTAATGTGGTTAATGTGTGAATGATAATATGTTAATGACAACAGGTTCACTCACTTGTAATAGTATGCGGCAGATGACTTCTTCAAATCCTATATAATACTTGCGACACAGAGATGAAGTTGTAGTAGTTAAGGATGATTCTGTGACTGTAGATATATTCTGACCATAATAATTGATAGCATCCTTTATGAGTGCCTAAATAGTAATGAGAAACCTATGATGTTCTGCATGAAGCAGGTTCAACTTACTTTACATGTCACACAGTATTTCTCTTCATCAGCCAGTACTTCTGTTGATAATATGATGAAAGCCAAACAAATTTGATAAAACATCAGAAAATGTCTTGTTTGAATGAGATTCAGATTTCTTTCTAGCAAAAAAAACTATAAAATAGTTAGAATGACTGTGAATGTTAAGAACAAGCCAACGAACGAAAGGAGTGATTAGAGAGAAGGTGAGAAACAAGGAAAACAGCGATTTTCGAAGTAAAAAAAAAAGATAAAAGTGATAAACTTTGGAAAATCATCATGTCAACTGGGAATGTTTGACCCAGAAGATGAGACAATTACTTGTGAAGACAACGGAATTGACCTTGCACTTTATGAAATTTTCTTAGAAATTACAACAACAAGCTTAATATGAGAGATATTATGATAATTTTATAATTTAATTATTTAATAAAATCAATGGAAGATGGGATTACCTCTACCGGCAAAAGCGAAAACGGAATTAGTTTCCCTTTTCGGTCAAAAAAAGCGCCGAAGGCAGTTGACGGACATTTGATGAGCCCTCCCACTTAGTCGCTACCGAATGTTTTTCTCTGCACTCTCTTTATTCATACTCTCTCATTATTCTCAGCCTCTCTCATCGTTCTCTATATATTTTTTCCGAAGAAATAAACATAGAGAAGCATATTATTATAGAAGCTTCACCTGGGGGTTTAATGAATTATCAAGTGGAACAATTATAAGAAAAAATTGTAAATGCGTGGATGAAAAATGTTTGGAATGTATGTGTCACGTCTATAATTTCTTCTTCATCTCTCTCAAATTGTTCATTTTTGGAAGGAAGATGATTGTGGGCAGTTCGGAATGATTGTGATCCGAACAAAAAGGTTAACAGAACGAGAAAAAAAGAGAAGAAATATTTTGTGTTAAAACATTAGAAAAGTTTCATTTACATTGCTTCTGCAAGTTTCGTCTGAATATCATCGAGAGAGAAATGAAGAGAGAGTGTTTGGCTGCAAAGGCTTTTTATGAAAATAGAAAAAAGTGTGGCTGGGGCAAGATAGCTAAATAATAGTGATCAACCATATGTACTTGCTCCAACATCGTCCTTAACTATCCAAGTACATGGGTTCATAACTGTAAACCTGGACAATAGTTTGAAACATGGGAGTTTCTTTGGCAAGTTTTACACATTTCTTGTCAAGAAGCGAATATTCCAGGAAAAAGCGAAGAAAACGTTTCGTTGGTCAAAGAATGTTTGAAGAAAATGTAAGAAGTTGGGAACAATGAAAATAAATAGTGATAAGTCATACTTCAAAAGTGGGCAGAAGGTAGAAACAGTAAAACTGAATGCATACCAAGGGAGAAAGAAAAAATAAAAATTTCACAATTAGCTTGAGAAGGTGCAGAGATAACAAAAAACGATTGTGAATGGTGCTAGCCAAGGACATGAAGCTTAAGCCGGAATCCAACTTATATATATGTATGTCTTACTCATCATTCCATTAATTATCTCATTAACTTCTGAAAATTTCTCTCAAAACACTAATTATTCATCATTTAAGCTTTCAGAGAGTGTTTCGTAATGGTTTAAGGTCAGAAGATCAAAATTAGAAGTTACTCATCACATCGACTAAGTATGAAAAGGGAAACAGGTTGTTCTACGAGCTTCTTCTATGATTCATTTGAGAGTGAACGATGAAGACCAAAAATATTTTTTCTCCGATCGATAAGATCACTGAATGGCAAATACATCGTTAAGCTTTTATATGATTTGAATCGAACTTTTACCTTAACCACACCCTTCTGGAAGAGGAAGAAGAAGGTTTTTGGGTTGTGAAGGATGCCATGCAGATTCAACAGTCTTCGATTTCAAATAGTTTTGTCTTTCATTTTGAAACTATGGAATGAGTCAGAATGTTTTTTGGAAGATCCAAAAATTTCCATTTCATTTTGATTCTATGCGTGGTGAAGAGCGGTTGTTCGTAAAATCTGCGGAAGCTTTTCATATTGCTCTGATATTTTCTGTAGAAATGTGAGAAAAGTCTGCTGAAGCATCACGTTATTGTATTTGTGCGAACAGTTGTATTCATATGAACGTTTTTAGTAAGAAAAACTGAAATTCAAGAGATAACCATCTAGAAGCGCATCCTCCACACAAAAGGCATTGCAAACAGAACTTTCGTAAAACATCTTTATATAGTTAAGACTGCTAACCTTATACCATTTTTTTTCATTCATTTTGTTTATTAAATATATTTTTATGTTCCTCTATAGGTGAGTGGGCGTGTCTGATACTACTTCGAACAAGAAGAATATGCCTACCTGAACTCTTTGTGTGCTTTCTATTCTAACTTTTCTCACTCAAAATAGTAGGGGGCGGAGCTTGTTTAGCTTCTCAGCTTCTTCTCTCTTACTTTTCATTTTAACTTCATGAGGTAAGAGGTGATGTGAGCAGCAAATTCTCTCATCGCGCTATCTCAGCTCTTCATAGTCCAACAAATGAAAAAAATGACTGAAGGACGATTTCTGTCATCCTTTGATCCATCTCTAAAACTTGTTCTATGCTCTCTAAAGCTTAAAATAAGCTCTCATATGTCCATTCTCGGCATCTATAAGAGTCGGAAAAAACATGAAAAAATGCTCTAGACGCCATACAGCGCCTCAGGGCAAATATTAGCTTATTTCGTCGTCGGCAATGTTTGCAATTGGCTACCTAATCGGTCATTCTCTGTTCCTCAAAGTTTCATATGATCATTCTACGAATTTCGATCTTGTACTTTCTTCTGTGCCTCTACACTGTTCCGCATCACAACCGGATCAGGAAAATAGTCTGCAGCTGAGAAGAAGATGGTTTTTAAAAATTTAACCTTCCTCTCCGCTATGTTTATGAAAACTCATTGAAAACTTCATTCTGATTGGCCACCATTTCTTTTTCGTCCAAATTTAAGAAAAGATTATAATTTGATTTGCTTTTTCTTCCTGAACCACATCTTCATGAAACCGGCTATACTGGATATGACCGTTTTCACGACGATTTTCCTTTGTGCTTTTTTCAAAACAAAATGTTTCCATTCGCGCCTGAAATTACGAATACTCTTAAACACCATCATAATTTCATTTTTTGATATATAATGTCTTACACACTCCTCTGTTTGTTTTAAATTTGATACTCTTCTATATAAAATCTCCAAGTATAGGAAGAGAGAGAGAGAGTGGGATGTTGCGAGAGATGAGAAAAAAAGAGAAAAGAGGAAACGAGGGAAGTCTCGACAGGATTCGGCTTTTTTACAAGATTTCCTCTGTCCGTTCATCATCACTCCTTCGTATAAAATTATTTTTGATTTATCGACTTCATATTTCAGAAATGCGCTTATGGCTGTTGGTGTTTGTGTTTGCTTCCATCGAGGCCCAGAATTCATTTAATATTTCGAATGAAGACAATACGAACCAGCAATCAGTGGGTTTTTCTTTTGCATTCTCACTAAAACAAAATAAAACCTTTCGGTTTTGTAAAGTTCAGAAACCGAGCTAAGTTCGTGTGTTAAGTAAACTTAACTATTGACTTATAAAAACTTGTTAGATTATCGTTCATGGAAATATCAATCGTCTTGTTGTCAAAAGTAAACAGATAATGTATGAAAGTTCAAAAATAGTTTGCAAGCTTAGAATTCTTTGTTTAGTCTTCTTTTTTTAGAAGAACTTCTATGAAATGTTCAAAAGAACTTTTGTTCATAGTTGTTGTTCAGGCTTATCAACAGCTTTATTCCTTCCTTCTTACAAAAACTTCTTAGATGTTTGGAATGTTTGTATTCAATTCATCTTTTTAACCTAAAAATACAGTCCGCTACCAATAAAACCTTACGCAGAATTAAATTTGACATTGCATTGAGGGTTCAGCGAAAAACGTATCTGATCATCGTGTCTGTCGCATGCACTTGATGTTGCCAAATTTCTTGTGCATCTGTTTAATGAACAGAAACGGTTTGCTGGAGATCAGTTTACTCCGGAAGAAAAAGCTGCAACACCAACCGGCCCGTCCAAGTTGTTCAAGCCTGACATTCTTTAGAAAGAAAGGCGTCATATCGTTCCTCGTCATCATGTTTCTTGGCGTACATGGCGTCATGCCTGTTTGCATTTTTTTATTTTGCATTCATTGTCATCTGAACCATCTTTCTAGCATTCTTCAGTCAGCAGGACGTCTTTTACATAATGAAAAAGAAACAACACAATACAAGAGAGAAAGGGATATTCTTTTAACTCTCGTTCACAGTTCTGATCTTAAAAACTTGCCAAAGACAAACAATCGAATGATGTTTCGATGAAGCTTCAAGAAACTTCTTTTAACATCTTCGAAAACTTATTTTGTTTGCTTGTTTCTCTCTAAAGTACGAAAAACGTGTTAAATTCATCATCTTCATAGTCTAAAAGAGAAACTACTCACTTTTTGTTCGTGCACACAAACTCCAATTTGCCTTGAAATTGAACAAAGCCTGCAACGTTCAGGAAGGAATCACTAAAAACTAGTCTCAAATATGATTTTTCGAAGTTTTTGTTCAAATAATAAGTTATTACAAGGTATGATAGGGTTTCCGAAATTCCACATGAATTTCGAAAGTTAAATTAAATGAGAACTTAAGTGAAACATTCAATCGATTAGCTAATTTCCTACAATTTATTTTTCGTCTTATCTCTACTCTTCTTTTAATATTTCATTTTGTCAAGTTGTGAGCAAATATATTTAAACAGCAATCTAACAGAGACTCTTAAGAAACAAAACGAAAAACTGTTTGAATTAATTTCTTAATTATTAAATAGAACGGCAAACCATTTTTCGAATGTCCCCAATGAGCCTTAGCTAAGAGCAACCGTCTCTACAGTAAGAAATAATCCAAATGACTTACTTGTGTAACACGTTGTTTTCACGGGAATTTGACGGAAATTGCGTATTTTTGCAGGTTTATGATGTTATAATAGTCGGCGGTGGTTTAACTGGATTAACGGCAGCAAAACAAATCTTACGACGTCAACCGTCAGCTTCTGTTGTTATTTTAGAAGCGAGAGGACAGGTATTTTTCCTTTAACTTTTTCCGGGTTATGTATTTTGATAGGTTGGGGGACGTATTCGAGCCCGAACTGTTACCACAGCCGCTGGTGATGAATGGTTGGACTTAGGTAATTTCTGAGTTTACTGTGTTAATTAGTTTTTCAATTATTTAGGATCTCAGTTCATATCTCCTAAGCACAATGAACTTATCAACTTGATAAGAGCCGAGAACATCCAGCTATCGCAACAAGCTATGTGTGGTCACAATACGGTTTTGATTGAGGGAGTTCGGAGACGGTCAGTTTATGCCTTTATTCATCTAATTTTAGTACTTCTTCAGTAAACGCCAGATCTGGACATCTTCTATACCCGCTAGATCAACTATTGAGGAAGTTTTGGCTTCACCAGACATGACACGTTTGGGAAATATGACTGTTGGCGATTTTACTCTGAGCAGTGGTATGTCTGACCAAGAAGCGGCAGCTATGAATCGCCTTCTCCAGGTAATATTGATAGAGTTTCAAATAACAACTACGACTACTAAAAGTAATATTTCATGTTATTTTGAAAGACTTCTTAAGTTAATAAAACTGAACAAACATGACTGGTCGCCAACGTTTCGAGTTTCTTTTTTTACGTTTTTCATGCAAAAAATCATTTTTTTTCGTTTGTTCTTGTAGTGGGGCGACTGTACTTAAGCGGTCTAGAAAGATTTAGCTTAACTTCGAAATGAAACCTATTTGTGCTAATCTTGTTTGCAAGTGGTTTGATGTAGATACAAAAAGTTATTAATTACAATCACCTCATTTCAATTAGTAAATTAACAACTATCGCAGAACACTGCATTTACAGACCCTGTACGATGCCCCGGAGAATAAAATATCTCCGCTCACTTTATCTCTCACTGCTGGAAGTGACAAAGCTTCGATCCCTGATCTTTTGATGGACTTTGGCCATGGAAGCTCGTTCTTAGCTGTAGGTAGCATGTACAATGTTGTGAGGTGAGCTTTCATATTCATCGATTATTGTTTTTAAAACTCAAAGTACAGATCAATGGCTGACGGAATCCACGTAGAGTATAACCAAGATGTTACATCTATCCAGCATTGTATGAGCACATTTAGTTTTAAGCTTTACTTTAATGTTTTTAGCTGCCCGCGCTGTTGTGACAACCACAAAAGGTGTATTCCAAGCTCGCCAAGTTCTTGTTACTGCGCCACCTAAAGTAGCGGCCAGAATAAACTTCTCACCATCCATCTCTTCCCAGTTCTCCACATTCTTAGGTGTGCAATTACACTCGTGTCGCCTAAAAGAGAATCGTTTATAGATTCGTATAGCCCTAAGGGTGATGCTTTCTACTTCACGATGACATTCCCTACAGCTTTCTGGAGAGCTCAAAACCGAAATGGACAAATAATATACACTTCTTCCACTGGCCGAGTAGCTTGGTTAACCACATTCGATGTCACTACAACAGCTCAATGCGGTAGAAAGCCACATCTTCATAGTGTTTTAGAGAATATTTTTCAGAATCTCGAATTGGAACAACTGGAGTCCTCTGGGGAATCGCTCATGTAATTGAAAAGATTGAAGATGATCGTCAGAGACATCAACTTTACATTGATGTCATTGCCAAAACACTAGGATCAAATGTATCACCTATAGACGTCAAGTAATATATAGGAATGTACGAAGCGTATTTACTTTTTCTCCTCTAGGGATGTGCAGTTTTCCAATGACTCGAAAGCTCTCGGGTCCATAGGAGGATTTGGTCCAATGACTGATTTCTCATTTTTGCAATTTTTGAAGGGAGTTCATTCGGAGAATGACGTAAACTAGCTCGCATGCTCCTTTATCAAAATTGATATATTTGAGGTTCTACATTTTGCTTCCGCGGAATATTCAAATAAGTCAATGGGCTTAATGAACGGAGCTGTGAACTCGGGAAATTTGGCGGCTGAGACCATTATCGAACGAATAAGAGGTGGGAGACTTACACAACATACAACAACAAAAAATCCTTTAGACACTCAACCTGCGACCTCATTCCAATATGATCAACCTTTATTGCAACAAGGAACAACTTCTTATGTTTACACAACATCCACCCACTATCCTCCCACAACACGCCCTCTGGTATCTTTGTTGGGTATACGGTGTGGTTTTGAACAATTTCTTCAGGCTATTAATATCATATTGGCTTCTGCATCATCCGCTAATAATAATAGTATTGGTTTTTCATACAGCACCTCCACTCATTATCCAACGACCAGACCTGAGCCAGTATCTGAGCGACAGACAGTTGAAACTCTACAAGTATATCATTTTGTAGTATTGAAAGAGAAGAAAATTTTTCAGAGAGATCAATCCGGCTTCAGATATGAAACATCCACTCATTATCCTTCAACATCAGCTTTTGATACAACTACTATGACGCATTTCAGCATGGGAAATCAACCTCAACAAGGTTTTGACTGTTTTCTCATTCACCTCACCTTATTTTTCCCTGACAAGAGCATGTTCTTCCAGCATTTGCTACTAACAATGAGACACAAAAGAGTTTTGACTATGTAACAACAACGCATTACCCTCCCTTCACCCAAACCGTTGACACTGGAATATTTGAACATTTTAGTTTAGGAAACGAAAAAAATGGTTTGTTCCTTTTTTCTAATCCACTCAACTCAAGCATCGTTCACATTTTTCGTTTTGTTTCTAGATTTATTGATTTTCAGAAACAAGCTCACAAATCACAAATCTCATCTTGGGACCTGCCCAATTTGTGAACCCATCTACCACTGTTTCGCCGCCTACAAGTTCCCCTCAAACTCGTGCAGGTCCTCCTGCTGGAATTCAAGCAGGAAGCACTACCCCATTTGTATACAGTACAAGTACACCAGCAACCAATATGCTGATCGTGACCGATTCAAATTTTCAACATTTTAGTCTTGGAAATCTTGGCTCTGAGAACTCTGTGCAAACAGGTTTTCTCTAGTTATAGTTACAGTTTTATCAAAGAAAATTCACCAGATCTGCTCGTAGCAAAAGATCAAGTGACTGCTCTTTCTGCGCAACCGTCTTTCAGCAGTGGTCCAGTTCCTACAAACATTCTCACGGAGCTGAAATCCACCGTGGATGAGGTTTGCCATATCAAAGTCTCCAGGTCAAGGCTGTTGTTTTTAGGCGTCCAACAGTAATCAACTGTCATTGGCCACGAAACTTTCATCGATAGTTCAAAACCTTTTGCAATCAATCATGAATATGAATAATTAAATTAATAAGTGGTAACTTGCAAAAAACCTGTGATTTCCTTTTTTACCTGTAGATATCTCGTTATCATTCTGTCTAAGGAACTTGGCTTTAAAACCCGAAATACTTTTATTTTTTTATTTATTGTGCTCCCAGACGTGTTTTTACGCTTTTTCCAATCATATCTACATGAAAATTATTTGAAAATTGAAACATTTATGGACAAACAATAAAGATTTGAATGCGACCGCTTCCTATTCTCAAGGTGAGCAAAATGAAAGACTATAATCGCATGTAAACCGAACGCCAAGCAGCGTTCGGACAAAAATGTACAAACAAATAATAATTGCGGAGTAGGAAGTTAATACAATTGATTATGAAGCGAGTTGGGATTTAATATATCAAAACTTCTCACAATAACGGCTATGAACGGCATTATTACAGACAGGTCAATTACAAACGCCAATAAGACATGAAACGAACCATTAAAACAAAAGGTAAGAGGTTAAAAATATAAAGCGGTATTAGAGACTCAAATAGCTTAATGATAGCCATACACACTAGCTTGCTTAGAGGATCGGGAGAAGTCAACTTTGCTTGTTTTATTATTAAACTTTTCTCGGCTCTCTTTCAAACTTTCAATTACCATAGCTTCAACGCTTTGCTTATATTCTGGTTTTCTTGTATTGGAAGATCGGCTAAAATAACATTAGTGCTTTAACAAAAAAATAACTAAATCTCACCTTATGCCACTCCCTGGAACTCGATCCGGAGCTGTATAAGTTCTTAACAAATGCTGAAACCACATAATTTCAGAAGAGTAAGAAAAAAATTAATATTACTCTAGTTTCCTTCGATTCATCGTTGAACTCAACAGTAGGTTCCTCCTGCACGAGAAATATAGTAGAAAAAAATTACGATAACGAATTACCGTATCTGTGTCAGGATCTTCCAGATCGACTACAATATCTGCGTTCTCAGTAGTGGAATAAACTTCTCCACTATAGTCCTCATCATCAGATCCCTAAATATCACATCGCAAACTGCTTTATAAAAAAACGCGTACGTATGAAGCTCTCATGAATTTTTTTGTGTTACCGGAAGAATCCCTATCACCAACCGTCACGTTCATTTTCTAAAGAGACGAGATTGCGTGAATAGCTTTAACGAAGAGTACTTTTTTTAGGGCTTGCTTCTCTGCTCTACTCGTCGCCTTTGATGTGGAGCTGGGTCTGCAAGTATAAAACTAGATTATTTTATATAACAGAGCAAAACTTACTTCCAATCACTACAACAGTGTAATACACAGTTTCTTCGCTTTCGTCCACTGCTGCTAGGCAAGCTGAAATAGCGTAATACAAGATATTCAAACAGAAAAACACAACAATAAACAAAGGGCAGTTAATAGTAAAATGAATGGTCAACTAACTTATGCAGCGCGTCACAGTCGCGTCGCGTCTCGCCCGCTGCAGAATGATTGCCTAAACAATTTTCCAATGAGACAGACAAGCACCCATAGCAACAAACCGTCTGAGTATCCTTTGCTACCTGACGGTTTCGAGTCCACAGGATATTTTCCATTAATCCTAATGTAAATAACAATTGAAATGGAACTTGCTTGAAAAATATACCTCATCTCACGGTTACTACTGTCACTGAAATCGTAACTGCCACTTGTAGACTCCAGAATATTACGCTCACTGAAACGTGAAACAAAAATTAAAAAACTAACAGATAAATACGGATTGACCCTCACTTGTTATCAGCTGAAAACTCTGCAGTTACATCCGAATAGCAAATATTAATACAGGAACCAGAGCTCATAGTTTTCTCTGGATTCATTGACTCAACTCTTTGATGCTCTGATCTGTCGTTGATTGAAGGGGCGTTGCACACTTCATCATCGCAGTCTATCAATCTACTACTAGGGTTAAATTCTGAAAAGAAACATTTATTGTGCTAGCATGAGATAAAAACTGAACTACCCGTTGACGTGCATGGCAGGGTTTCACAAGTTATTGCTTCAACGGTGAAGGACGGAGCTTCATAATCTGTACTATTATAGGGATAAGCAAGATCACAACTTCTCAAATTGATATCACAATGTTCTCCAGACCCTGTAGAGTTTCGAGTAGATTTTTCTACAACATTTATATCAGACACCGATGAGCTACCGTTGTGCGATTGCTCCAATGAAAACTGTTGCAGTTCGATGCTTTTCTGAGCGTTAAGAATATTGTCTTCAAACTCCATTGCTTGGTTCTGCTCGGAGTCGGAAGGTCCATATTCTTCAAACTCAGGATAGAGTACATCAATAGCCTCAGATTCGTATTCTCCGACTTCCACGGGTTCGTACCCTTTGAACTCGTCTGAAGGATATTCTTCATATTCTGATCCATATTTTTTATATTGATTTTCTATAGTGACATCATGCTGTCTTTCAGAATGTTGTTCTTGATAACGAAAAGGTTCCAGTTCTTCACATTCCTCAGGTTGAAAAACAGTATACTGAACACCCTCATAACCTCGATAATCCTCGTTTTCTCGAGGAATATAGTCAAAAGGTTCGCAGACATTAATTTCCGGTGATCCCACATTCATATCAACGTTTTCAATGTCTATATCATTCACAGCATTATAATCTTCAACCAGGCCATTGTAAAGATATGTTCCTTGACTATCGATATCAGTGTTTGAAAAAACCTGCAGGTGATCCTCATTATCTAGTTGGTATTCTTCTTGATCATATCTCTCGTACTGTTTCGTTTCGAAGCTGTTAGCATCATACGCACCGACATCAACATCCTCATCCTCGTAATCTTCCGAGCTAGCCGTCTCGTCCGAATCGCTATCATCTTCTTTATAGTTTCTCGAATGATAACTTTTACACCGATAATCTACATTCTCAGATTCATCCGAGTCCAAATCTTGATCTTCATTGTGGAGCTGATCCAAATTACTGTCTTCATCGGGTGCTTCGTTCAATTCATCTCCTAGAACATAGTCTTGCCCCTCTTTATCTTTCCAATCATAATCCTCTTCTTCTTTCTCGTCTTGTTTAGGATATACGGAACTATGCTCGACATATTTTGAATAATACGCTTGTGCACCTTCACTCTTCAGATAATCCAGCTCTTTTTCTTCACTTTGCGAGTCTTCGGAGTCGTCATCATCCCTTCGTTTGCTGTAGAGCTCATTAGTTTGTTCGAACATTTCACTAGCTCGTTCGGACTCTTCGATATCTCCACTGGTATCTCTTTTTACATAAGCCAAGTAGGTATCATACGAAATAGGATCATCCAACTCAAGCTCGGCATTATCGAGTTCATCTTCTTTGTACACTGGTATGACTGAAATAGTGAAGAGAATATAACCAACATGAAGTATTCATTTACCTGTTGGTTCAGCGCCAAAATCGACATCGTTATACTCATCCGGCTCGTACAGAAACGGTGTCACCTCAACTTCATCTTCTATAGGTTCTTCTTTAATTGGTTCTGGTTGAAAATCTAATCCTAATTCTTTCCGTAAGAGTTCGAGTTCAAAATCTTCTTTATCTAGCAGCAGTTCTCTCTCTTCTCCTTCTTCTAAGGCATAATCCCTATACTCATCATCATCATCTTCTTCGATTTCTTCTTTTACATAATCTTCATCATCTTCTTCGTCATCATCATCATAGTACTGATCTTCATCACCAGCTGGCCTATCCTCTTTGTTTTTGTCAGTTTCTCCAGCTTCTACACTTGGGTTCACTTCTACCACCTCTTTCGTTTCATCGGCATCTTTAAATTCCTCGATTCTTTCGACTTTCTCAATTTCATCGATTTTTTTAAGATCCTTCACTTCTTCCGTCTCTTCTAATTTTTCAATTTTGGAAACTCCTTCAAGAGGAAAAAGTCTATAAACATTATTCCTTACAAAAAGTTGAGCAGAAACTCACTGTCCGCAATTGTCACAGTCCAGCTGAGATTTGCAAATAACTTCGGATTTACTATCTTCTCTATTTGCTAGCTCTGTAGCCTCAAAGCCTACAGGAGCTTTACATACTCTACTGAAAGGAGAAGCATGATATCAACACTCGTACTATCCTTACTTATTATATAATATATTAATATCACAAGCACAAGAAGCTCTATTACCGGTATTATTAACATTACACGTATCCTGAACTAAACTTTTAAAAACAGAGAAGATGAATGAACACGTACATTTTCATACAAAGTTGAAAGCACTGAAGGGGATAAAGGAAACTCTTTAACATCCTCTAAACTAGACCTGAAGATAGTATTTAGTTGAAAATTGAGAAAAATCCACCTATCCGAAGTAGATAAATCTTCTTCTTTATACAAGTAAACCCAGTCTTTTCTATGCACTCGACCATCCGCGGTTCCACACCTACAATTATAAAGATGACGGGAAAAAATCATAATAAAGACCTTAGAACAGTTGATAATCTATCGGTGCTCGAAAATAACAGGGGTTCGGGTTCACTAGAACCATGCATATTCGATTCCCACTGATTCTGCAATAAGAATTTCTCGGAGAAAAACAGGATTGTCATGTACAGTTGAGGTAGTTGGTTGAAAAATATCATTAATATTAACATCGTCTTCATTCCAAGAGGGTAAATAAGAAGTCGAACATAGCTCAGATTCATTTCTCACACGCTGTAAGGTTCTGAATTACAGTTATAGCATGGAACACAAACCCTGGTGAAAGCAAAACGCGAAAACGATTCTGCACAGAATTCTTCAATGCAAGCATCCCTTCAAAACAAGATAATAGCAATTATAATAACAATTCAAAAGTAACAAACCAAGAGTCTAACCGTACGCTCGGTTTTGCATTTTGAAAAAACGTCAGACGAGTATGACTGGGACTATAAACAGCGAATACATTAGGTAAATTACATGAACTCAACTCTTCTGAAAAAGTATTCATAGAACCCACGATTATAGACATCTCGTCAAATTCTGATTGCGAACAAGTACTTGAATTCTGCAATGGAGAACATAGGAAAGTCAAGTAAAACAACCCACTTCATTAAACAACGTATCATTTGGCTCATCGCATGTATCATTATTCACCTCATTCATTGACTGGAACAAACTGTCTGAAGAAAGAGAATCAGAGTTCAAATACTCAGGTTTCTGATTTGAATTTTGTTAAAAAGAAAAATATTTGAAAAAGAACGAAGAGCTTGAATGCGCGAGACCCATGCGTATTCGACCAACATATGACCCAGGCATAAAGGCGGGGCATCCAGTTTTGAAATTTTACTCTACAATCTCAGATTTTGATTTTTAAAAAAAGCTTCTTCTTTTATAGTAGGACGCTTATATCTGAGCATGTTTCTTCGACATGATAGTAAAGGTTGATCAAACTATAGAAGGTCCGACAAACAAATCAATAAAGAGCAAAGTTTCTCAGTCGAGGAAAATAAACTCAAGTATGGCATGTGATGTACCAATTCCTGGAGTAGTGTAAGCTTAAGTCTCGCTCACTTCCTCAGAACAGCAAACGGTATACCTAACTCTTACCATTTAATCGATAATTAAGATGAACCGTGAAGAATCAGCTGAACAATCTGAAAACAGTTAAATTCATATGTTACCACCGAAGGGTTACAGAAGAAGAGTTCAAACGTATGAAAAAGACTCAATAGAACGTTGCATCAATTGAAGATAAAATAAATAAAGTTTCGCCACATAGGATAATGTCGCCTAGCATTCAATGGATCTCTAGAACTCGATAAAGTAAAGATGGACTGTTTCCATTCGTTGAAAACTAACAAAAAAATGTCGTCACTCTAAACTTTTACAATTAGAGCACAAAAGTACAACAGAAAAAAAAAACAAACAACAACAAATATTCAGACGTTTTTAAGCTTAACCAGATGATATAAGATAGTTACATCTGTTTTGCTCTGACTAGGCAATAGATACACATCTTCATCGAGCTTCTCTACCGCTTTTCTACTTTTAATGTCATTCTAAACAAAAGTGTTGAATAATACTGATTGAAAAACGTACTGCAAACACGTAAGACCGAGGTCCACGCTCGAATTTGATAACGCACTGCTTTATCCAATCCCTCAAAGTTAAAGGACCGGTAATTCTTGAATAAAGCATGAAGGTTCATATTCATTCAGTTTCTAACCTGACTCTTGTTACATGAGCTTCAAAGTTATCGTTACTCAGAATCTCAGCATCAAGACCCCATGTCAGGGCAGCGTACAGTACGAATAGATCATCTTCGGCACTTAAAAGAAGATTTAGTCATAAAGCTCAAGCCTCTTCTGTACTTAGCGTTGCAGACGAAGAACTTCACATTACCAGGAGTATTTTTTGGAACTAAATGTAAGAGATGCCTTCTAATAACAAAGAAACAATTTCCATACTCTTTCGCAACTCTAAATAACTTGATAAATAACTCAAAAGAATAGTATGCATACCTTTTAATCAAATTCTGGAATGAGTTGTTTTCGTTGGTCGGTGTGAGATTGAGAGAGTCTACCACTAAAGCTTTAAGCTTTCCATCTCGCTTGATAGCATTGCTCTTCCAGTTTGAGACAGAGGCGACCAAACTTGTAAGCTCATCTTTCACAAGACTACCTAAGAAAGAAATTACAAACTGAAAGGTTTTTACAGAAAGGACCTCCTTTACGAGATAAATCCTCAAGTGTGCAAAGAAGATCCTTATGTAAATGTGTAATATGATCGCTAGGAAAAGTTTTTGATAAAATTTGGTATCGGTTCTCCACTAAGCCATTCTTTGATATTCTTGGTCTTGTCAGATCGCATAGTTTGCTGAACAGAGGTGGTTGGAAAGGGTGGAGAACATCGCTAACCTCAGAAATGGACCGAAGTAACTAGCAAAGTTATCAGCACAGAGCAGTCTTTCCTCTTTCATACATTTATCTAAAAGATGACGAACACATTCGTCTCCTCTAACCTGAACAATATAAATTCTTGAAGAAGACGCTCTAAATATACCTTCTTTCTCTCGATAGTTTTCCATAACCAGAATAGGAAAATCGGCTCAGTCAAGTCAATATTTCGATTTTCAGTGAATTTTCTGAATGAGAATACTGATGAATATATGAAGTAGAGACAGTACTTGAAGATATCCCATCTACCATCAACTAAGAAAACGAGAGCACAGAGTCTCTCTATTTCCTTTACATAAATTATATTCAATCTTTTATCGGAAAGACTCATGGAATCATAACCGTTCAACAGTCCAGACAAGAGATCTGTAACTCCGATTACAGGCAAGTCTACGAACGGACTAGCAACTTATTGAATATTCTACAGGAGCCGGTAGAGAGCCTTTACAACACTTGGTTAATCTCAAGCCGAGTTCACGATCCTCTTCGACTTCTTTACTGTAAATTTTTGCTTCCACTAAACCTCGCAATGCTTCTATAACAGTAGGTGGCGTCCAGAACACATCAAGATTGTTGCGGATGCAATCTCTTAGTTCATTGTAACGTTGGCATCTCCTGTTATGAAAAAATTGCGTTTTCTAATCATTTTCCACGGCACCTTAAAGCACTGAAGTTCCGATAACCATAGCTTGCGTTAGGAGTGACTTGTGGAGGTAGAGTATTGAAGTTCTCTTGCAGTTCTTTCTGAACAGCCATAATGTGATAATGCTGCAACCTATGAACAGTTCCTTACATATGTTTGTGATATTGTTTCTATTTGAACTTGTGGAAACTTCTTTTTGAAGTCAACTTGTTGTTGTTGAAGAGACTCATACTTGTTAGTCTGAATCGCAGATTAGAAAACTGTGGTTTGACAAAGCATTCTAAACCTTTCTCCATTTATTAAGTTTGGGAATCGATTGTTTATTCCCAACATCAGTGTTGACTACGAAACGACAACTGAGCAAGGAAGAAAAACCCTACAACAATTTCGACATGAATCTCTACC